CACCTGAAGAAGAACATTCTCCTGGCTCAAGCTTCCTTTTTTTGCTCTTTGGTCTCCCAGGTTGCACCTTAACAGAAGGGGGTAGTGGTTCCCTCATTCTGACTCTCTCCCAGTGCTTTGGGCCAGGCATTGGTTGGACAGCTGGTTCATAAGCAGACCTGTATGTGTCCATGGTATAGTATGGGTCAACAACAGCCTCTATGTCACCCCTCATATCCAATATGCAGGCATAAGCATGAACACATGGAATGCCAGTGAGTTCCCAATGGTAACATGTGCAGGTCTCCTTGTCCAAATCAACCAACACCTGGTCATCCTTCAGCTGCACCTCAAATGTATTCCCTCTGGATGGCTGCACCACACAGGACCTAGCCACAAAGTCTATCCTCCCCAGAACATGCCTCACATATGGCACTAAGTTGTGTGTAATTGTTTTTGAATCCTCCCACTTTTCATTATTCCTGTTCATAATATACCTCCTCATCCATTCCATTTGGGTGAGGATAGGTTTATCTCTGGCAGGCCTAATGACTGCATTGAAAGTCTCACACATGTTGTTCAACAACATGTTGGACTTGCAGTTTGGTGTGAATGCATGTCTAGACCAATGGTGGGGAGGAATGTTGATTAAATACTCATATGCCTCTTCATCGAGGAATTTGATAGACTCCATGGCAATTTCATGCTCAAACTGACATATAAAAGCATACCAGAAATCACACCAAGCATATACAAGCTAACCAATATAAAAACACACCAACAGTCATATAAAAGCATAGGCTAGCTTCAACAATCAATAAACTTACAATGGTGGTGGCCCTAGCTGCTCTCCAAAACAGCTCCTTAAAGGTTGATCCAGTGAAGTTGAGCTTGAAGTTAGCCCAAATATGCCTCACACAAAACCTTTGCTCAGCTTTGGGAATAACATCAGCCATTGCTTTAATCAAACCCTACCAAATGCAGACAAAAGTATAATCATCAGTCAATCACATACATACACATGAAAACTTAGAAATTGAACCTAAATAGTTAAGAGGGAAACAGAAGCATTACCTTTTGCCTGTCAGACATGATGGTCAGCCCAGCTCCTTGATCATGTGTGAACATTGACATAAGGGATTCCAAGAACCAACCCCAAGTTTCCTGGTTTTCAATCTCCACTGTGGCCCAAGCTAGAGGAAACAAGTTGTTATTCCCATCCTTAGCAACTGCCACCAGAATTTGCCCAGGAAAGGCACCCTTGAGGTGACAACCATCCAACCCTATTAAAGGCCTACAACCCTTTGCAAATCCATCTCTCAATGGCCTTAAACAGATGAACATCCTCATGAACAATGGTGGCTCTGGCCTGTCAATACCATCAACAACAACATTGCACCCTGAACCAGGGTTGTACTTCATCACAGCTTTCCCATAATCCCACACCCTAGCATACTGCTCCCTAGCTGAACCAAATATCAGTAGTTTTGCCCTACACCTAGCTAGCCATGCCTTATAGTAACTCACATCAACTCCTAAATCATTCAAAATCCTAGCCCTAATCTCCTTAATTCTCCAACCAGGGTTACTCCTAAACTCTTCTAAATACCTCTCTGCTATGTATTCAGCAGTAAGCATCTTGTTCTTCTTTACTCTGAAGCAGGAATGGTCTAAATTCAAGGTTTTGATTTGCCAAGTTTGCTGCTTAACAAGTTTTGATGCAAACACCTTGAACTGACACTTTACCCCCCCACACATGTACAAGCAGGCATTCTACAAGTGTAGCTATTGAACTCACAGCCACATCTATATCTACACTGAACTGTAATCCTTTTACTGTCATTATGCAAGTAGTAGAACTCATACCTGTTTTGAATGGCATGAAGTCTTAAGGCCCTCCTCAAGACTGAAGCATTACTGAATTTCTGATTTAACTTCAACTTGATTGGGTTGTCAAAGTCCACATCAGCATTAAACCAAGGAGCATAGTCCTGTTCCTCATCAGATCCACACAAACTCCTTGAATCATCTGAATCAGCATCACTTTCTGGATTCACCTTCGGTTTTCCAACATCCAAATCATTTCTCAACTCTACTCTCTTATCTTTGCCAACCCTGTCATCTACTGCACTCTCCAAACCTTTCCTAAGGCTCTTGTTCACTTTGGCCAAGATCTCCTTTGACCCTTCAATATACCATTCCTCATCCCCTTCATCAAATTCTTCTTCACCAGGTTCCCAATCTTGTCCCTCATCACTCAAATCTGAACTTGAATAACCAGATCCTTCACATCCATCATCCTTTTCTTCATCAAACCTCAACACTTTAGCATTAGCTGAGGCTTTCCTAGGTGGACTCTCCTCCCTTTGTTCAGTTTCTGTCTTCTTAAACCTAGGGCTCCTCCTAATAGTCGATGTATTTGAACTTTCTACCTTCTTATCCTTTTTTTTTGTCTTTGCAGGATTGGGTTGGGCCTCTTGTATGGGCTGACTAGGAGCTTATGTTGTTACAAAAACCTCAACATACCCCTCTTCATTTACTGTCTCCAAAAGGCCCTTAACCTCTTCACTGTTAACTAGTTCCCTTTTCCCAGTGTTAAAGGTTTTCCCCTTCTGCCTATACCAACAGCTGTAATGCATAGGCACATCCATATCACCATTAACAAAACCATGAATTGCAGCTGTTCTAATCAAATGCACATCCAACTTAGATACTTGAACCTTCCTCTTCCAGTAACACCAACCACCACACCAACACAGCAGCTGCCTGTTTTTGGTTACTCTTTTAGGGACAAAAGCACCTCCCACTCTAAGGCAGATGTCAACCAAACTATCCTTGTCACCCATTATCTACCCACCAGTGAAAAACATATAAAACATATTAAAAGCCATGTAACTATACATGCACAATACGAATAAACAAATCCATCACAGCCACACAAACAAACACATAAAAAAATTGAAAATAAACATATACAAGCCAATGTAGGTGCTCAGTAACATAAATTAATCAACAAACCACACTTGCTAGTTTAATTAACAATAAACCACCTTAATTAATCTCTACTTTCAATTACGAAATCCAATTAACCTAAGTCGCATAGTCAGTTACAGAAATTGATTTATCAAGGCTTTCCTACTGTGGTCCCAAAATTTACCCTAATTACCCAATTATTGCAAGGTTTACAGCAATGAAGCACCAGTAATTGACGAAATTGCTATCAAAGGAGAGCAATTTTACCTTATTTTCTGTGAATTTCAAGCGGCTTTCGCACTTTTGTAGTTGAAGAAGATGATGAAGAAACCCTCCTGAGCTTATCTTCTCCAACGTTGACACCACCCTACACTCCACTTCTCAGCCAAGATCTCCTTTGGTTCAAAAGCGAAATCAATGAAGGTTCAGAAAGAATTCAATGCAGAAGGTTGCTGCGAATTCAATGAAGAAAGAAGTTTCGTGTTTTGCTGGGTGAAAATTGAAGTTCAAGCCAATTTGTGGGACCCACGTTAAATTTCCGTGACGGAAATCGTTAACTGGTGTTAACTTCCAACTTTTATATTTTTGGGAGGTGTTAAAATAAAAGTTTTTTTTTGGGGGGTGTTAAAAAACATTTTCAGCCTTTTGTAAGGTGTTAAAATCCAAAATATCCTATAGATATTTTGGATTTTAACACCTTACAAAAGGCTGAAAATGTTTTTTAACACCCCCCAAAAAAAAACTTTTATTTTAACACCTCCCAAAAATATAAAAGTTGGAAGTTAACACCAAAATCCATCTTCCGTTAACAGAACTTTTAGTGGGGCCCACCCCAACGGATATATTTTTAAAAGATCTGTATATAAGAACCATTCTTCCACGATTCTTGCACGATATATAAGAACCATTCTTGCACGATTCTCCCCCAATGAACGAAATCGTTGTTCTTATTGAATAGCAGCAGCGCATTGCATTGTTGCACGATACTTGAAACAATTCTTTCACGATTCTTCCACGATTTTTGAGAAGAGGAACAGATTGAAGCTGCTGAAACAGGTGAGTGCGGTCAATTGTTCGGTTGTTTGGTAATTATGGTTTAAATTCTCTTCAATTATTATTTGCAATTGTTTCGTACTCAGATTAATGGTTGGATTATGTTATGTACGCATCTAAATGCCCAATTGCGAAATTAGGGTTCGTCAGAAATTGAATTTGGGGCTTTTCGTATTATGAAATTAAAAATGAATTTTGTTGCTGTCAATGTTAATTCGTCAGTGTACAAATCTGTAAATGTGACTGTCGATCTAAAATTGATGCAGATTATGTCGTTTGTTAGCTCTTCCCCTCCTGAGGCCAGAAAATGTAAGTGTGGTGTGCCAATGGCCAAGCTCACTAGCTGGACAAGGGAGAATCCAGGCAGGAAGTTCATATCATGTAAGTTTTATGACCCAATAACAGAAACAAGGGGTTGCAAAGCTTTCGAATGGGTTGATCAACCTGATGGAACAGATTGGCAAACAGGGGTTATCAACAACCTGTTGTTGGATAAGAAGCTGCTAAAGGGTGAAGTTAATGAATTGAAAAGGGAAGTTGATGAAATCAGTGGCCAAAGGAGGTGCCTACTTAATGAAGTTGATAATTTGAAGATGAGATGCAAGGCCTTGAACGCTGACAGGAAGAGAATGAACAGGGAGTGCAATGAAGGGAAGGTGTCTTCAATCAGCTGTTTTGGTTGGGTGGGCATGGCCATTTGTATAGGTTTGTCAATGGGTGTAATTTTCCTAATGGCTAGGGGTGTGTAATAGTAAGCTGTATTAAGTAGTTATAATTTCTTGTAATGACTTGAAGTGTTATAAATATGTCTTTTAATCAACCTATTTATGCCTTGTCTAAGTTCCTATTTATGCCTTGTCTTTTAATCAACCTATTTAAACATGTGAAACATTAAAACATGGGAAATATGTGAAACACTAAGATAGTTCAAGTACAGGTTGACAAAAGAACCTTACTTCAACATGTTTCAATGGCAATCAAAGCCACGCAACCATTACAATTCAATATCTAATTGTTCAAATTTGTTAAGGGAAGCCACTAAAAAACTAGCAAGTTACATAACCAGTCATGAGTACATAATAAAAGTTTGAAATTGTTCAACAGACATAATGTTTGATATCCAGCATGAGTACATCACTGAGTAAGGTTGTTGAGGGATTGCAGCCTGGCCCTTGTTACAACACCTGTGGCTGTTGTAGGCTGACTTGAGGAAGACCTTGTCTTTCTTTTTGGTTGGCTTGAGGCAGGCTGACTTGAGGAAGGCTGAGCTGAGGATGGCTGACTAGAGGATGGCTGAGCTGAGGAATGCTTAGCTGAGGAAGACTGTGGCTGTGGGCGCTTGCTGAATGGCAGACAACCTTCTTGCTCTTGAGGAAACTTTTTGTTTCCTATGCTGTTTGGTCCAGCCCCAATTGCACTCTATGACATGCATATAAAAATAAAAAGTCAATGGAAAAGACACATACATATATAAAACAAAGGGGGAGTTGGTGTAATGCTTGTGTTACCTTTTTAGCAGCCCTAATCTCTTTCTTCTTCCTCTCCTCCACCATCCAAGGAGTGTTCAGTGGGGGTCTGCCTGCTGACTTTATCAGCTCTGTAGCTGGTGCAGCAGGTACTTTGCAAGTCTTGGCATAATGCCTATATCCCCCACAGTTGCTGCATTGCTTCTTCCTCTTGGTACTTGCCTGACCACCTGAAGAAGAACATTCTCCTGGCTCAAGCTTCCTTTTTTTGCTCTTTGGTCTCCCAGGTTGCACCTTAACAGAAGGGGGTAGTGGTTCCCTCATTCTGACTCTCTCCCAGTGCTTTGGGCCAGGCATTGGTTGGACAGCTGGTTCATAAGCAGACCTGTATGTGTCCATGGTATAGTATGGGTCAACAACAGCCTCTATGTCACCCCTCATATCCAATATGCAGGCATAAGCATGAACACATGGAATGCCAGTGAGTTCCCAATGGTAACATGTGCAGGTCTCCTTGTCCAAATCAACCAACACCTGGTCATCCTTCAGCTGCACCTCAAATGTATTCCCTCTGGATGGCTGCACCACACAGGACCTAGCCACAAAGTCTATCCTCCCCAGAACATGCCTCACATATGGCACTAAGTTGTGTGTAATTGTTTTTGAATCCTCCCACTTTTCATTATTCCTGTTCATAATATACCTCCTCATCCATTCCATTTGGGTGAGGATAGGTTTATCTCTGGCAGGCCTAATGACTGCATTGAAAGTCTCACACATGTTGTTCAACAACATGTTGGACTTGCAGTTTGGTGTGAATGCATGTCTAGACCAATGGTGGGGAGGAATGTTGATTAAATACTCATATGCCTCTTCATCGAGGAATTTGATAGACTCCATGGCAATTTCATGCTCAAACTGACATATAAAAGCATACCAGAAATCACACCAAGCATATACAAGCTAACCAATATAAAAACACACCAACAGTCATATAAAAGCATAGGCTAGCTTCAACAATCAATAAACTTACAATGGTGGTGGCCCTAGCTGCTCTCCAAAACAGCTCCTTAAAGGTTGATCCAGTGAAGTTGAGCTTGAAGTTAGCCCAAATATGCCTCACACAAAACCTTTGCTCAGCTTTGGGAATAACATCAGCCATTGCTTTAATCAAACCCTACCAAATGCAGACAAAAGTATAATCATCAGTCAATCACATACATACACATGAAAACTTAGAAATTGAACCTAAATAGTTAAGAGGGAAACAGAAGCATTACCTTTTGCCTGTCAGACATGATGGTCAGCCCAGCTCCTTGATCATGTGTGAACATTGACATAAGGGATTCCAAGAACCAACCCCAAGTTTCCTGGTTTTCAATCTCCACTGTGGCCCAAGCTAGAGGAAACAAGTTGTTATTCCCATCCTTAGCAACTGCCACCAGAATTTGCCCAGGAAAGGCACCCTTGAGGTGACAACCATCCAACCCTATTAAAGGCCTACAACCCTTTGCAAATCCATCTCTCAATGGCCTTAAACAGATGAACATCCTCATGAACAATGGTGGCTCTGGCCTGTCAATACCATCAACAACAACATTGCACCCTGAACCAGGGTTGTACTTCATCACAGCTTTCCCATAATCCCACACCCTAGCATACTGCTCCCTAGCTGAACCAAATATCAGTAGTTTTGCCCTACACCTAGCTAGCCATGCCTTATAGTAACTCACATCAACTCCTAAATCATTCAAAATCCTAGCCCTAATCTCCTTAATTCTCCAACCAGGGTTACTCCTAAACTCTTCTAAATACCTCTCTGCTATGTATTCAGCAGTAAGCATCTTGTTCTTCTTTACTCTGAAGCAGGAATGGTCTAAATTCAAGGTTTTGATTTGCCAAGTTTGCTGCTTAACAAGTTTTGATGCAAACACCTTGAACTGACACTTTACCCCCCCCACACATGTACAAGCAGGCATTCTACAAGTGTAGCTATTGAACTCACAGCCACATCTATATCTACACTGAACTGTAATCCTTTTACTGTCATTATGCAAGTAGTAGAACTCATACCTGTTTTGAATGGCATGAAGTCTTAAGGCCCTCCTCAAGACTGAAGCATTACTGAATTTCTGATTTAACTTCAACTTGATTGGGTTGTCAAAGTCCACATCAGCATTAAACCAAGGAGCATAGTCCTGTTCCTCATCAGATCCACACAAACTCCTTGAATCATCTGAATCAGCATCACTTTCTGGATTCACCTTCGGTTTTCCAACATCCAAATCATTTCTCAACTCTACTCTCTTATCTTTGCCAACCCTGTCATCTACTGCACTCTCCAAACCTTTCCTAAGGCTCTTGTTCACTTTGGCCAAGATCTCCTTTGACCCTTCAATATACCATTCCTCATCCCCTTCATCAAATTCTTCTTCACCAGGTTCCCAATCTTGTCCCTCATCACTCAAATCTGAACTTGAATAACCAGATCCTTCACATCCATCATCCTTTTCTTCATCAAACCTCAACACTTTAGCATTAGCTGAGGCTTTCCTAGGTGGACTCTCCTCCCTTTGTTCAGTTTCTGTCTTCTTAAACCTAGGGCTCCTCCTAATAGTCGATGTATTTGAACTTTCTACCTTCTTATCCTTTTTTTTTGTCTTTGCAGGATTGGGTTGGGCCTCTTGTATGGGCTGACTAGGAGCTTCTGTTGTTACAAAAACCTCAACATACCCCTCTTCATTTACTGTCTCCAAAAGGCCCTTAACCTCTTCACTGTTAACTAGTTCCCTTTTCCCAGTGTTAAAGGTTTTCCCCTTCTGCCTATACCAACAGCTGTAATGCATAGGCACATCCATATCACCATTAACAAAACCATGAATTGCAGCTGTTCTAATCAAATGCACATCCAACTTAGATACTTGAACCTTCCTCTTCCAGTAACACCAACCACCACACCAACACAGCAGCTGCCTGTTTTTGGTTACTCTTTTAGGGACAAAAGCACCTCCCACTCTAAGGCAGATGTCAACCAAACTATCCTTGTCACCCATTATCTACCCACCAGTGAAAAACATATAAAACATATTAAAAGCCATGTAACTATACATGCACAATACGAATAAACAAATCCATCACAGCCACACAAACAAACACATAAAAAAATTGAAAATAAACATATACAAGCCAATGTAGGTGCTCAGTAACATAAATTAATCAACAAACCACACTTGCTAGTTTAATTAACAATAAACCACCTTAATTAATCTCTACTTTCAATTACGAAATCCAATTAACCTAAGTCGCATAGTCAGTTACAGAAATTGATTTATCAAGGCTTTCCTACTGTGGTCCCAAAATTTACCCTAATTACCCAATTATTGCAAGGTTTACAGCAATGAAGCACCAGTAATTGACGAAATTGCTATCAAAGGAGAGCAATTTTACCTTATTTTCTGTGAATTTCAAGCGGCTTTCGCACTTTTGTAGTTGAAGAAGATGATGAAGAAACCCTCCTGAGCTTATCTTCTCCAACGTTGACACCACCCTACACTCCACTTCTCAGCCAAGATCTCCTTTGGTTCAAAAGCGAAATCAATGAAGGTTCAGAAAGAATTCAATGCAGAAGGTTGCTGCGAATTCAATGAAGAAAGAAGTTTCGTGTTTTGCTGGGTGAAAATTGAAGTTCAAGCCAATTTGTGGGACCCACGTTAAATTTCCGTGACGGAAATCGTTAACTGGTGTTAACTTCCAACTTTTATATTTTTGGGAGGTGTTAAAATAAAAGTTTTTTTTTTGGGGGGTGTTAAAAAACATTTTCAGCCTTTTGTAAGGTGTTAAAATCCAAAATATCCTATAGATATTTTGGATTTTAACACCTTACAAAAGGCTGAAAATGTTTTTTAACACCCCCCAAAAAAAAACTTTTATTTTAACACCTCCCAAAAATATAAAAGTTGGAAGTTAACACCAAAATCCATCTTCCGTTAACAGAACTTTTAGTGGGGCCCACCCCAACGGATATATTTTTAAAAGATCTGTATATAAGAACCATTCTTCCACGATTCTTGCACGATATATAAGAACCATTCTTGCACGATTCTCCCCCAATGAACGAAATCGTTGTTCTTATTGAATAGCAGCAGCGCATTGCATTGTTGCACGATACTTGAAACAATTCTTTCACGATTCTTCCACGATTTTTGAGAAGAGGAACAGATTGAAGCTGCTGAAACAGGTGAGTGCGGTCAATTGTTCGGTTGTTTGGTAATTATGGTTTAAATTCTCTTCAATTATTATTTGCAATTGTTTCGTACTCAGATTAATGGTTGGATTATGTTATGTACGCATCTAAATGCCCAATTGCGAAATTAGGGTTCGTCAGAAATTGAATTTGGGGCTTTTCGTATTATGAAATTAAAAATGAATTTTGTTGCTGTCAATGTTAATTCGTCAGTGTACAAATCTGTAAATGTGACTGTCGATCTAAAATTGATGCAGATTATGTCGTTTGTTAGCTCTTCCCCTCCTGAGGCCAGAAAATGTAAGTGTGGTGTGCCAATGGCCAAGCTCACTAGCTGGACAAGGGAGAATCCAGGCAGGAAGTTCATATCATGTAAGTTTTATGACCCAATAACAGAAACAAGGGGTTGCAAAGCTTTCGAATGGGTTGATCAACCTGATGGAACAGATTGGCAAACAGGGGTTATCAACAACCTGTTGTTGGATAAGAAGCTGCTAAAGGGTGAAGTTAATGAATTGAAAAGGGAAGTTGATGAAATCAGTGGCCAAAGGAGGTGCCTACTTAATGAAGTTGATAATTTGAAGATGAGATGCAAGGCCTTGAACGCTGACAGGAAGAGAATGAACAGGGAGTGCAATGAAGGGAAGGTGTCTTCAATCAGCTGTTTTGGTTGGGTGGGCATGGCCATTTGTATAGGTTTGTCAATGGGTGTAATTTTCCTAATGGCTAGGGGTGTGTAATAGTAAGCTGTATTAAGTAGTTATAATTTCTTGTAATGACTTGAAGTGTTATAAATATGTCTTTTAATCAACCTATTTATGCCTTGTCTAAGTTCCTATTTATGCCTTGTCTTTTAATCAACCTATTTAAACATGTGAAACATTAAAACATGGGAAATATGTGAAACACTAAGATAGTTCAAGTACAGGTTGACAAAAGAACCTTACTTCAACATGTTTCAATGGCAATCAAAGCCATGCAACCATTACAATTCAATATCTAATTGTTCAAATTTGTTAAGGGAAGCCACTAAAAAACTAGCAAGTTACATAACCAGTCATGAGTACATAATAAAAGTTTGAAATTGTTCAACAGACATAATGTTTGATATCCAGCATGAGTACATCACTGAGTAAGGTTGTTGAGGGATTGCAGCCTGGCCCTTGTTACAACACCTGTGGCTGTTGTAGGCTGACTTGAGGAAGACCTTGTCTTTCTTTTTGGTTGGCTTGAGGCAGGCTGACTTGAGGAAGGCTGAGCTGAGGATGGCTGACTAGAGGATGGCTGAGCTGAGGAATGCTTAGCTGAGGAAGACTGTGGCTGTGGGCGCTTGCTGAATGGCAGACAACCTTCTTGCTCTTGAGGAAACTTTTTGTTTCCTATGCTGTTTGGTCCAGCCCCAATTGCACTCTATGACATGCATATAAAAATAAAAAGTCAATGGAAAAGACACATACATATATAAAACAAAGGGGGAGTTGGTGTAATGCTTGTGTTACCTTTTTAGCAGCCCTAATCTCTTTCTTCTTCCTCTCCTCCACCATCCAAGGAGTGTTCAGTGGGGGTCTGCCTGCTGACTTTATCAGCTCTGTAGCTGGTGCAGCAGGTACTTTGCAAGTCTTGGCATAATGCCTATATCCCCCACAGTTGCTGCATTGCTTCTTCCTCTTGGTACTTGCCTGACCACCTGAAGAAGAACATTCTCCTGGCTCAAGCTTCCTTTTTTTGCTCTTTGGTCTCCCAGGTTGCACCTTAACAGAAGGGGGTAGTGGTTCCCTCATTCTGACTCTCTCCCAGTGCTTTGGGCCAGGCATTGGTTGGACAGCTGGTTCATAAGCAGACCTGTATGTGTCCATGGTATAGTATGGGTCAACAACAGCCTCTATGTCACCCCTCATATCCAATATGCAGGCATAAGCATGAACACATGGAATGCCAGTGAGTTCCCAATGGTAACATGTGCAGGTCTCCTTGTCCAAATCAACCAACACCTGGTCATCCTTCAGCTGCACCTCAAATGTATTCCCTCTGGATGGCTGCACCACACAGGACCTAGCCACAAAGTCTATCCTCCCCAGAACATGCCTCACATATGGCACTAAGTTGTGTGTAATTGTTTTTGAATCCTCCCACTTTTCATTATTCCTGTTCATAATATACCTCCTCATCCATTCCATTTGGGTGAGGATAGGTTTATCTCTGGCAGGCCTAATGACTGCATTGAAAGTCTCACACATGTTGTTCAACAACATGTTGGACTTGCAGTTTGGTGTGAATGCATGTCTAGACCAATGGTGGGGAGGAATGTTGATTAAATACTCATATGCCTCTTCATCGAGGAATTTGATAGACTCCATGGCAATTTCATGCTCAAACTGACATATAAAAGCATACCAGAAATCACACCAAGCATATACAAGCTAACCAATATAAAAACACACCAACAGTCATATAAAAGCATAGGCTAGCTTCAACAATCAATAAACTTACAATGGTGGTGGCCCTAGCTGCTCTCCAAAACAGCTCCTTAAAGGTTGATCCAGTGAAGTTGAGCTTGAAGTTAGCCCAAATATGCCTCACACAAAACCTTTGCTCAGCTTTGGGAATAACATCAGCCATTGCTTTAATCAAACCCTACCAAATGCAGACAAAAGTATAATCATCAGTCAATCACATACATACACATGAAAACTTAGAAATTGAACCTAAATAGTTAAGAGGGAAACAGAAGCATTACCTTTTGCCTGTCAGACATGATGGTCAGCCCAGCTCCTTGATCATGTGTGAACATTGACATAAGGGATTCCAAGAACCAACCCCAAGTTTCCTGGTTTTCAATCTCCACTGTGGCCCAAGCTAGAGGAAACAAGTTGTTATTCCCATCCTTAGAAACTGCCACCAGAATTTGCCCAGGAAAGGCACCCTTGAGGTGACAACCATCCAACCCTATTAAAGGCCTACAACCCTTTGCAAATCCATCTCTCAATGGCCTTAAACAGATGAACATCCTCATGAACAATGGTGGCTCTGGCCTGTCAATACCATCAACAACAACATTGCACCCTGAACCAGGGTTGTACTTCATCACAGCTTTCCCATAATCCCACACCCTAGCATACTGCTCCCTAGCTGAACCAAATATCAGTAGTTTTGCCCTACACCTAGCTAGCCATGCCTTATAGTAACTCACATCAACTCCTAAATCATTCAAAATCCTAGCCCTAATCTCCTTAATTCTCCAACCAGGGTTACTCCTAAACTCTTCTAAATACCTCTCTGCTATGTATTCAGCAGTAAGCATCTTGTTCTTCTTTACTCTGAAGCAGGAATGGTCTAAATTCAAGGTTTTGATTTGCCAAGTTTGCTGCTTAACAAGTTTTGATGCAAACACCTTGAACTGACACTTTACCCCCCCCACACATGTACAAGCAGGCATTCTACAAGTGTAGCTATTGAACTCACAGCCACATCTATATCTACACTGAACTGTAATCCTTTTACTGTCATTATGCAAGTAGTAGAACTCATACCTGTTTTGAATGGCATGAAGTCTTAAGGCCCTCCTCAAGACTGAAGCATTACTGAATTTCTGATTTAACTTCAACTTGATTGGGTTGTCAAAGTCCACATCAGCATTAAACCAAGGAGCATAGTCCTGTTCCTCATCAGATCCACACAAACTCCTTGAATCATCTGAATCAGCATCACTTTCTGGATTCACCTTCGGTTTTCCAACATCCAAATCATTTCTCAACTCTACTCTCTTATCTTTGCCAACCCTGTCATCTACTGCACTCTCCAAACCTTTCCTAAGGCTCTTGTTCACTTTGGCCAAGATCTCCTTTGACCCTTCAATATACCATTCCTCATCCCCTTCATCAAATTCTTCTTCACCAGGTTCCCAATCTTGTCCCTCATCACTCAAATCTGAACTTGAATAACCAGATCCTTCACATCCATCATCCTTTTCTTCATCAAACCTCAACACTTTAGCATTAGCTGAGGCTTTCCTAGGTGGACTCTCCTCCCTTTGTTCAGTTTCTGTCTTCTTAAACCTAGGGCTCCTCCTAATAGTCGATGTATTTGAACTTTCTACCTTCTTATCCTTTTTTTTTGTCTTTGCAGGATTGGGTTGGGCCTCTTGTATGGGCTGACTAGGAGCTTCTGTTGTTACAAAAACCTCAACATACCCCTCTTCATTTACTGTCTCCAAAAGGCCCTTAACCTCTTCACTGTTAACTAGTTCCCTTTTCCCAGTGTTAAAGGTTTTCCCCTTCTGCCTATACCAACAGCTGTAATGCATAGGCACATCCATATCACCATTAACAAAACCATGAATTGCAGCTGTTCTAATCAAATGCACATCCAACTTAGATACTTGAACCTTCCTCTTCCAGTAACACCAACCACCACACCAACACAGCAGCTGCCTGTTTTTGGTTACTCTTTTAGGGACAAAAGCACCTCCCACTCTAAGGCAGATGTCAACCAAACTATCCTTGTCACCCATTATCTACCCACCAGTGAAAAACATATAAAACATATTAAAAGCCATGTAACTATACATGCACAATACGAATAAACAAATCCATCACAGCCACACAAACAAACACATAAAAAAATTGAAAATAAACATATACAAGCCAATGTAGGTGCTCAGTAACATAAATTAATCAACAAACCACACTTGCTAGTTTAATTAACAATAAACCACCTTAATTAATCTCTACTTTCAATTACGAAATCCAATTAACCTAAGTCGCATAGTCAGTTACAGAAATTGATTTATCAAGGCTTTCCTACTGTGGTCCCAAAATTTACCCTAATTACCCAATTATTGCAAGGTTTACAGCAATGAAGCACCAGTAATTGACGAAATTGCTATCAAAGGAGAGCAATTTTACCTTATTTTCTGTGAATTTCAAGCGGCTTTCGCACTTTTGTAGTTGAAGAAGATGATGAAGAAACCCTCCTGAGCTTATCTTCTCCAACGTTGACACCACCCTACACTCCACTTCTCAGCCAAGATCTCCTTTGGTTCAAAAGCGAAATCAATGAAGGTTCAGAAAGAATTCAATGCAGAAGGTTGCTGCGAATTCAATGAAGAAAGAAGTTTCGTGTTTTGCTGGGTGAAAATTGAAGTTCAAGCCAATTTGTGGGACCCACGTTAAATTTCCGTGACGGAAATCGTTAACTGGTGTTAACTTCCAACTTTTATATTTTTGGGAGGTGTTAAAATAAAAGTTTTTTTTTCGGGGGTGTTAAAAAACATTTTCAGCCTTTTGTAAGGTGTTAAAATCCAAAATATCCTTTATATAATTTTACCAGCCACAGAACACAAATTTTTAGATTTCACCAACTAGTAATTATTAGTTCCATTTTTTTTAAATATCAATTTTACGCCAAACTTGCTATATTATGGTTTTGGAGTGATTTTGGTCTTTTGGAATTGATTTGAGGTTAGAATTTAAATAATTTATATGAAAATGTCTCGTTTTATGTGCTGAGAATTACCAAGATTTGCGAGACATACATAAAATGAGACATTTTCGATACTTAGCTGTTTTGACCTCAAGTCGGATCCAAAGGGTCAAAATGATCCCCCCAAATCCCTATTAGAGTAAATTAGGCACCAAAATCGATGATTTTTGGTTAAGAGGTGGCGAAATCTAACTTCACTAGTAGAAAAGCACATTCGTAATGGCAAAAAGGGGATATCCGTAACGAGAATTGGTCGTTACGTACGCGGCGGTTTTGAATAACCTCTGTACGTAACGATTACGTATAAGGGGTTATTAGGAACACTATTTGTAACGGACAGATATCCTGACAATTACTCCCTTCATGTTTTAATAAGTGTTACACTTACCAAATGTGGTCGTGTTTTAATAAGTATTACATTTGTTTTTTTTGGCAAAAAGCTACATTTTATTGTTACATCTCTCTCCTCTCTCCTCTCATGATCCTTACCCAAACCTACTACTACTTTTTTTTATTATTTATTTCCTCTCACATTCATTACTTATCAATAAACTATTAATCTCACTATCTTTCTTTTACAATTTTTTAATACTCTAACTACTCCACTTATCTCTTATTTTATTTTAGTCAATTAAATTACCTAAAACTATGTGTCAGTCGAAGTGTAACACTTACTCCGTATTAAAACACAGAGCGAGTACAAATAACGAGGTTATTCGAACAGACAAAACATGTGCCTGTTACAATTAACCCCGTTATTTGTAATCGTTAGGATATTTACCCGTTACAAATAGTGTTTGCCCCAATTTTCTTAAAAAAAATTCCAGCATATGCTGGACAGCTAGTTAGCACAATCATTTTATCAATTAATGATAGAAAATTATATTTTATACAAGTACAATATACACTTAACTCCACTTCATATACAAGCAGCAAAAGCTTGCATTCATAAATTCAATTACCTAATAACTAAAAAACTACAAAAAAAAAAAAAAAAAAAAAAAAAAAAAAAAGGAAATCTCAATTATTATAATAATAAAAGTTGACTAAGACTACGATTAAGATTAGTTTTAAATGATTTTCCGCAAAATCATATTGAATAATTTATATCTTCCACCATTTTTCTGAGTTGTTGCAATTTTGATCTCAATTCCGAGGATGCCTTAGGAACATGCAACACCCACTACACACCTTAGCACATAGGAACACTCAATTTAAATTTTGTGTTAATGGCTTTCTAAACCTGCAAAGTGCAAACAAACAGGGCTTAACACCATCTTTCAATTTCGAATAGATTGCTAAGGAACATTTAACTTAGAATTAGTCAATATACCTAAACAAAATAGCCCAAACAATTTCATATCCAATTATTACATGCCTATCCAATGATAGGCTGCCAACTTTACAAAAATTGAATTAGTAATTCTTAAGAAATTGACATAGGTTCGGATAGTATTCGGTCCATAGTAGAAAAGCCCAACCTCATCATTTGTAAAACCAAAAATCCAACCATAATGAATGCCTACCAAGAGCTTAAGAGAGAACTATGTATGCCTGGTACTTCAAGCATAATCATCACTCTGATTTTAACATCATTGGCAACCCATGCATTACCATGTCAAGGTCTACATCTAGGGCAAATCAGCCACACATCACCAATTCATCCATGCCACCAAAGTAACAATTCCAAATTCCCCGCGAAAATTTTTAACTATATCAAAAATAATGGTCACGATATAGTGCCTAACCATATTGTTCAGGCTTCAGAACATGAACTAATCAAGAAGAGGAAATATCCAATAGCATGTATCAACAAACTAATTCATCCAAGATATGATGTGCAGACTGCTTTAAGAAAACGAAAAAAAAAAAAGAAAGAGAGAAGACAGTGCATTGACAACAGCCACTATATTGTTGAACAGTTATCAAGAATTAACTAGAGGAACAAAGACAACAGCCCCAGCACATCCATTGATACATACTCAGCTTCAAAAGACATAATCATCAAGAGAGAGAAAAGAGGGGTTCTCATGGAGGTGTAGCACAAAGGTCAATGACCAAAAACTCTATCCGAGGCACTAAATACATCCCTGGATCAGTGGATCAGGAAGTGATATTGTCAAACAGCTAATATATCATGCAAGAAAATTACCAAAATACAACAATGAACACCAAGCAAGCTATAGTGTGTAAGCAGACTCAAAACTAATAACAAGATACAGAGTTTAAGAGTTAAGACACTAATTTGGTTATGATAATAGGCAGACTCAGAAACAGGCAAAGCAATAGTGTTGACTGTTGAGCCTTTTTTGGACGGCACAGATTACTCTGCGATTTACAATGGGTGTTTTACACTTAATTACACAATGCCCACAAAGTGTTCGTATAAAACCTCAATGAGAAAAGGAAACAATTATAGAGCCAGACATTGATTAACCCTAGGAGAGACGAAAAAAAAAAAAGAAGAATAATAAGAGCATGTCACATAAAAAGATAAGGCTGTCCAACTCCAGACTAAACTTATTGGACTGCTGCAAGACTTGTTTCAAATTTATTTGACTTATTATTCTCCCTAATCTATCCACATTAGTTAACAATAGTGCATCTGTTGGCTCCATGAACTGCTTACTGATATATTAATAAGATATTTAATTTATCATGTTAATTAATTATTGTAAACTATGGATAACAAATGATCAAAGTCATATCACCTATGCAGCTCCTCTAAAGCACAGGAAATTTGCTGAATCCTAATTGTACATTTTGTTAATTGCTATGTTACTCGGACATTGATTAAGTGTCTACTTGGATACGAGTGTCCAAGTATCGGACTCGGCCATTTTGTAGAAAAAAATCTAGTTTTTAGTTAAAAATGAAGTATCCAAGTAGAGTGTCGTGTCAGATACGACACGATACGACACTCGATTTTTGAGATAAATGAGGGTGTCGAAGTAACAGTGGTTAATTGTATACATGGATTAAATAACACTGAATAATTTATTATTCTGCAAATAGAAGGCTTTTTCACATGATCAAAAACATGATATGCATATCTAGATAAGACATTACACTCGATCTTCTATCAAAGATACTTGTATTTGAAAGGCGCTTTAATCTTTATTCTTTTATTAAACTGCTTCTGTAATTTTACGTTAGATAGGACTTGTGAAAAGAGTTACTAAATGAAACTAATTTAATACATAAGTGATTTTTTTATGAATGACGGGGAAGTGTTTAAACTGCAAGTCTTTTCTTTTACATTCACTTATTCTTTCTTGTTAACCCACCTTCTGAAAATATGTCCCTTCTATAAAAATAAATCTCACGTCTTACTGTGCCATTACCCTATTGGAAAGTAAATTGATAATACTAACATTCTATACTCCGTAGTAATAAAATTCTCACATCACAAATTTTTTTATAGAAATCGGCACAATTGGGTGAATGTTCTTTTGATTTTGAGACTTAAATCTGAGCCTATAGATCTTAAACATGCTAGCATATCATGTTTTTTTACAATCAAATCATTTAAAATTCAACGAAATCAGGTTTAATCAATCCATCGTAACAAAATCATGCTACAACTTTATTTCAATCAAAGAAATGAGACGACATGATTGAACATCACATTAATCAACATCTTAGTGCATCTTCAATAGTATACAAATAGGGATTTGCTTGCAAATTAATTAAAATTGCAAGCATGTAGCTTATCATTGGAGTGAAAAATTAATGTAGCTAGATCTAGCAACCCTGCTCAAACAAGCTACGTTGCTTGATTTTTCAAATATAACATCACCCACTTAAAATATGACATGTGTATAATAAAAACTATTTTATTTATTTATTTGTCTTCCAAGCTACAATATGCTGCAATTAATCATTGGAGCACTTTGTAGCTACAAAATATACTAGCTTGAATGTTTGATGTAGCAAGGTAAGCTACAAGGTATTGTAGCTTACCATTGGAGATGCTCTAAGAGTTTGAAAGCTCAAATATACGAATATATAAATTTAACAGCTTTGATCTGAAAGCTCACACTCCGATGAATTACATACGATCTTGAGTATTTCACCTCCACAGATTAAAGAGCACACCAAATCTAGATGCAGCGTGGTGCGGCGCGCATTTAATAGTCCAGAATTTTGTTTTCTAATTATTTTCACGATCTTTTGCCAATTTTAAGGTGGTTTTTTTTTTAATGCTAAAATCTATGTGGATAAATTCCTCGTTGATAAAAGTCATAAAACGAAATAAATATATACCATAATTATGAAAATCAAAACAAGATCATGGGTTAGGAAAAAGAAAAGCACATCAATCATGCACATGTAATCAAGTAATCACAAATGAGGCAAGGAAGTTCGCAACCTATATTTTTGGTTCTAAGTTCATACTAATGGTCGGTTTGATAGTGTGTCAAAAGGGTCCATGGTTTAGAGTTTAGGTGCACAACAAGGTGGCCTCCCATGAGGGCGTATGCATACGGACTAGAGGTGATCATTGGGCGGGCCGTGTCGGGTTCGGGCCGGGCCAAAGCTAAAAAATTATGCCTATTTCTTGGGGCGGGCCGGGACAAGTTTCGGGCCGGAAATTTTGTGCCCAAACCCGCCCAAAATGGTCGGGCCGGGCCTAAAAAAATCAACTAAATATGCATTAAAACGCATTCCCAAACCCGCCCAAAAAAAAAAATTTCAGGCCGGGTCCAACCCGATTTCAGGCCAAAAATTCTACCCAAAATCGGGCCGGGCTAACTTTGATCACCTCTAATACGGACGGCTCCGCGAGTTCATGATGAATCGAACACGACTCCATGGTTTGGTGAACTTAAAATCTTAGACGTACCCGTATTCTATAGGCGGATCTAGATTACTAAGTTTGGAGGGGCATTTAGTAAATAATAATTATGCAAACATAGCCTTTTATATCATCAATATAACTTAATTTTAAACCAAAAAAAAGAAACTAAAATATTTTTGGTGGGCCTCGTGCCACCAAGGCACGCATCTAGGTCCGCCATTGCCCGTATTACCACAAGCTTTTGGGTAGGTAAAGCATAAATCCCCATACAAAACACTATGAGACTGTTATTCAGAAAAATTAGTAATTGAACTGTCTAGATCTGAATTATTGACCTTCAATAATAAAGTATGTAGTCGCAATATATTCAAGCAAGTTACAACTATACAAGTATACAACAAGTTTGAGAATACCTTGACTAATGATGATTCCTGCAACATTCTGGGAAACAACTGTCAATAGCATAGTCAATTTTAACAGACATAGCCACTCCTCATTTTGCGCGTAATGGACCTGCCCATTCGAAGGCGCCGAGTAGTAAGAGCCTCTAGCAAAACATCCAAAGTATCTTCTATAGCTTCACCCTGTTTATCGAGACAATATGAACTGAATTGAGGAATAAGCTGTAATTCAGATAGAAGGCCAGCAGCTGCTGCTGCTGTGCAAGTGCGATCCCATGATGGTTGGGGCCTGCACTCAAGACAAAAGGACCAGTCAGAAAAAGAAACAAGATACCCTATGAGGTAGTTAGTTACAAGTACATACAAAAAATTTTCTTAGAGAAATTAAGGAAAGAATCAGAAGGCAATAATGTGGTGGGGTAAAAGCATAAATCAAGAGTTTACAACTCACCTAAGTCTGTGCATTGCTGAAGCACCTGTTGCAACCGATATGCAAGTTATGCCATCCTCTCCCCACTCAAGTTTTGCTCGCTCCTGGATGATTACATAGTTATTACTTATTGCATATACTTTTAAAATTAATGAAAAGATTCATAAATCATAAACATACAGGAAGCTCAAGGATCTGTACAATGAAAGAAAAAACAGATTCATCAAAATTCAAGTGTAATTAGAATATGAACTGTTTACAACTTTACATTATGAAAATTTAAGCTAAATCAGAAATACATATATTAATGCTCAAGGGCTTGGAGTTTTGACAGTGTAGCCACTTAATAAAATTGCATTCATGGTGTTAATAACAGTTGCTGATCATTAAAGTTGTATTCCCAAGTGATTACAACCATTGCAACAGAGGATATAAGATTTTGATTAATCCGGGTGATCCAAATCTAAATTTATTTTCAAAAGCTGCACTTTATATGGACCTCTGAAACTTCCCTAATTAGGTGACAACATAGGGTCTATATATAATGAAGCTGATAGAATCACAATTATATAGCTTTGAATTATGATAAACTGCCTTTATTATGAATCATACTCACTCTGTTTTATAAAGATGTTATACTCTGCATTTTACACGGTCTCAAATGCATACCTTTCACCTTCAATATCTATCTTTTAATATTATTAGTTAAAATCATGAAAAATGTACATTACAAAAGTACACATTGCAACAAATCTATCAAGATCTCCCATAATAATATTTAAATTGGTGAATTATAAACTCCGGACAAAGTTTTATAAGCTTGACCACATGAATAATGTTGTAGCTTCTTTATGCAACAAAGGTATATAAAATTCAGAAACACATAAAATGATTAGGATCTTGGAGTATAGTCTTCTTTCCTACAATTATAGAGCTGGGGTGTCAAATGTCTAATGAAAACAACTTCTTTCAAATTTGCAATTGTAAAGCTGTTTAGGTGGTCAGGTGTCTACTTGTTATCGCTAGATCAAGGATAAAAATATTCTTTTAATGAATCTGAAGCCAAGCAAAGATGCATACAGGAGACCTTTCAAGACCCTTAAAGCCAAGTAAAGCTGCATATAAGAAACCTTTCAAGACCCTGCTAGGACCCTTGTATACTAGGTGCTTGTTTGTTTGATATGGAAATTTACTTCCCATAGGAATTTGTATTTCATAGGAATTAAATACTTACATCAAATTCCTAAGAATTGCCTAAAGTTGTTTGGTTGGTATGAAGGAAGTTGCAAATCATGTGAATTTTGACTTACCAAGGGGGGATTGGGTAATTAACTTCCCATTTTTGTTGGGAAGTCACAATTCCCATGAATTTGCAATTCCTACATTTACACTTCTTATTGTCAACCAAACTACTCATCCATTTTCAAATTCCCAAGATTTTCCACTTTCCTCATTTTCTTTGTGCAACAAAACAAGCCCTAGGAACAAACTTTATTTCCATGTTCTTTTATTTAAGGTTGTGTATGTCCAACAGGCAACAACACCCTTAGGTATTGAAGTCTCATCAAAGGCATCCTGGTGATAATTTTAATGTTGATAAATTAGGTATTTAGGCTACAATTTAGTGTTGGAATAATTGACAATAACAATCCCACGTTTCCTCTATCTTCTCTAAACATTCCCATCTTTTGATTAATTAAAAATAATCCAATATAGAGTTTGGTGCACATACAAAGCCCAAGATGGTTCCTTACCAAAACGATGGGTATGGAAAGAGTAACTCCTATGCTTATAAAGTGGTTCATCATCTCCTCTTTCTCCAATGTGGGACAACTTAGAAGTGCATACATATGGGTTCCACCCTCATCTCACTTGTGAGTGTCCTTTAAATCCAGAGCTAAGTGGAAAGGTAATCACAAACATTTCTCTTAGAAGCTAGACATCCCGTTGAAGTATATCCTTATCTAGTTGCACCAAAGACCCAGTTTAGAAGAGACCCACAACTTGGGCTCTAATACCATGATAACGAAGGGTTCAACATCTTCTCATATGGTAAGTTTTGACTAGCAACCTCCGTGATTTTGATCCATCTCTGTGTTCTCACTCTATTTCTAGATTGTTACCCATATATGTCAGCCATTACTACCACGACATGTATGTCATCATATCATAACACCGCCATGGCCCATTGCTATTTCAATCCTAATCAATTTATATTTTACAACACTGTTTTCTAGCTTCTGCTTTTGCCTAGTTTTATCTACCACTTCCCCTTTTAATACTAGGGGCATGAGCTCCAATCGTCTAATTGAGCTTAAAGATGAAGAAATTAGAAATATTTTTTGTATAATAACTCCATGATTGTTGGCGGCTAAAATCAATAAAACCCTCAGTCTTCTCATCAAAATGGAATAATATTATCTGGGTTGCAATGGCCATGTATATTAGGTGGCTACTGCTTTCAGAGTTCTTATTATCTCTTTTTTTATTATTCACATCCATTTCAAACTTAGACCATCTTTTATGACTTGCACGTAAGAAAAAATGTATTGATGAGGATTCACTCATCACACTTAGACCATCCTTTATGACTTGCACGTAAGAAAAAATGTAGTCATGCGAGATCTTATTTGATTTGTTTCAATATATAGACTATAGATCATAAATACCTGATTCTTATGATTTATACAAATGCATTACTAAGTTATAAATGGTTAAAAATGTGTCTCAGCAAATGTGAAAAGTAAAATATTGCAACTAAAATAATGGAGGAAATACATTAAATTTGGTCTTGGAAACCAACAGCAATACACCCAACATTCATCCAATCACAAAACTTTCAGCACATTTAGAGACAAGATAGACCATTTTAAACATAACAATATGTTTTACTTAATTTAAAGGGGAAAGATGAAGCTCATAGGTAAGAGAGAAACTTCCTCATAAAAAAAATAAAACAACCTCACAATAGTTGGTTCGTCTTCTCGAATTAAAGGACATTCAACAATGAATAATTTATTCTCTTAATGAATGATAATGATGAGTAACGAAGACGGTGCTACCTTTAACCGCTTGAACATTGCCGTAGAATTGCTCCATGTTCCATCTATAAGAATGAAATTCAAGATATTATCTCCACTTGTCTGTGGAGCAGCAAAAACATGGACAAATAAATTAGCGTGGTGGATTCAAACGAATAAGTGATATCCACAATATAGGGGAAGGCTCGTGAGAATTTCTCCTTTATGTGAGAACCCTTTCTTATATGAGAACACTCTTTATGTTTTAAATTTTTACTCAGGTGCTCTAAATTAGTACTCATATGTTCTAAACCATAAATTAGTTAAGTTAGATGTTATAAATTTTAAATAACTTGTTCCAGAATTTTAACTTACATGTTCTAAATTTTAAAACGTGTGCTCTAAGATTTTTAATCATATGTTCTAGATTTTAAGGCATATGTTCTAATTTTTATTTCTATGTTCTAAATTTTTACTTACATTTTCTATATTTTATATCAGGTGTTCTAAATTTTTATTCACATGTTTTAAATCTTAAATCAAATGTTCTGATTTTTACTCATATATTCTAATATTTTATAAAGCAGATTTTCTAAATATTTACTCACATGTTCAATTCTTAAATCAGATGTTCTAAATTATTACTCACACAGATGTTCTAAATTATTACTCATATGTTCTAAATTTAAATTTGAGTCACGTGTTCTAAATTTTTATTCTACTCGTATGTTCTAAACTTTTACTCACATGTTCTGAATTTTAGATCAGTTTGTCATATAAGTATGGGTTCTCACATATGAACCTATTCTCACCGGATCCCTCCCCTATATATAAATACTAAATAAAAAAATTTAAAATAAAATAAAACAAAAATTACTAAGATTGAGCATTTTGTTTTGATTTAGGAACCGTACACGGAAGAATATAATGTTAACATTTAGGAACATGTGCCCCTAAACGGTAACTATCTAATGTTCCCACTTTTTTCAACTTACCACCTTATGAAAATTATTATTTATTTTACCGCCTTATATCTGCATACACCCTATAAATTACCACCTTGTAATGAAAACTGTTAAAAAATTTCCGTTTGTAGGACCCAGTTATGGTCCTATAACTTCTGTATTCCCTCTTCCACAATAAAATTCAGCTTTAAAAAAAAACACAAAATAAACATAAACACAAATGATATTTTCTTATTTGGCTTGGATGGATAGAAGGTTGGGATAACAAGGATCTGCGGAGAGGTAGGGGGAGACCAAAGATTACTTGGATGGAAAGAGTTCAAAAGGACATGGTGAGGATGGGTATACAATCTTATTTGGCAGAAGAAGGAATACTATGGAAGACTATATGAGATGAGTACTGGTTCATACAGCGGACCCCATATTTTTGTGATTAAGGCTTTGATTATGATGATGATGATGATGACAAATGATAATTTCATAACGAAGTCGATTACAAGGTGGTGATTTGTTAGGTTTATACAAAAATAAGGTGGTAAAATAATTACATGTTTTCATAAGGTGGTAAGTTGAAAAGGTGGAAACATTAGGTGGTTAAGCCGTTAAGGACAAACTTTCCTAAAAAAATACTCCTTTTGTTCTTTGCACACTATTTACAGCAAATGGAGAAACCATTGACAATATATTCTCATAGATATATAAGAAATAACAAAGAGGTTTAAAAACAATATTTTAGGGGTAAAAAAAAACTATTATTGAGTGGATGGCAAGTTAGCAACGGGTCAGATTGGAATGGATTATGCACCATAATCCGACACCGACTTTGACTTGTAGTTGATGTCCAATTTCGTATGAATCCAACATTAGACTCCCCTCACCAATGTATGATTCTACCCTCTTAATTCAAACATCACTCCTCCCTTCCCTCCCTATAAGAATCTATAACGTGTACCAAGAAACAATCCATCATTCGCCACCATATACAATAGATTTTATAAAACATGAAGATATTAAAGCATAAGTATGCATAAGTACCTTGTCCAAATTGCTATCTTCAATACTTGGCGTATCACATAAGAAGTAATCCTTTACGGACTTGGGAATTCCAGGCTTACTAGGATACATGCACCACACCATGTTTTTTCCTGAATGTGTTTTATCAGCTCAACTGCTCAATAACCTGACTAAAACAAAAACTAATAGACTAGAACAATTTCCACACACCAAACTTTAACAAGACAGGCAACAGTCAAGTTTCCTTTTCGTATATTACAATTTATTTAGATTACTAATAGCTAGTCATTTTGCATCATCAACAAAAGATTGCAAAGCAGTTCCAACATCAATATAACAATTAACTAAGCTATTGCATAACCGTAACAGCACATTATAAATAAACAAAGGAAGTAGGTCAAAAGTCATTATAGTACAGCAAGCCTAATCAAAATCATAATGAATGGAGACTATGGAAGCCATTTGCTACTAGTTGAGTTCCTAGCTACCACTTGGAGGTTGGAGCTAAACTGCGGGATGGAGAGAACGGAAAATATTACTTCTTAATTCAGTCCCATTACCCATGATAAGGATCAGCTGGAAGATATGTGAAAATTTAAGCAACAAAAAAGCAAAACATACAAGTAGAATAAAAGATATGGAAATGGCTGTTCTAAACATGGCATGTTGGCAATGAACAAGCTATATGAGAAGCAAGATGTTGGTTCCACGTAATTTATGAATTTGTTTGCAGCAAGAGCAATTGGAAACACAGGAGGCATGGCAACATAGAAAACAATTTTACAGAGTTGCACACACAATTAATATGAGACAAATATCTGGGTTGGGCACCAAACTAACACAACTCTATAAAGTCAAAAACCAATCATTAAGTTACAAAAGATGAACAATTACCCTAGAAGATGCCATTAAAAATAAACCTGCTTTCTTAAATTCATTCCACATTATGTCTTCATGTTCAGCAATACCATAGAGGCACAATGTTGCTGCCTGCACACCAAACACTTGCCATAACACCTTTCCTGTGTTGTTTTGCCGCAAAAAATCCTAGGAAAATAAGGTAAAAGACAATTAATCATAGATATATTCCATCTGCTATTGCACAGTTACTGAGGCATGTTCATATAATGAAACAGAAAAAGAAACACAAACCTTAGGATGCATGTACAACCAAAATCGTATCCCATGCCAAAGTGGGCTAGGTTTGACTTTCAAGCACATGCAATCTTCTTCATATGGAAGCCAGCACTGGAAGCAGGGTAGACGTCAATAACTAGGTAAAATGATTTGATAATGCCAAAAAGGATTACCTAACATTACTTATACGGAAAAATAAAGAGGTAGACCCAAAAGAAAGTATCTAATAAGTACAAACTAGCATTCAAAAATTACAATAAATGCTAATAAGTTACAGAAATCAAGTACCTTCTGACAAAGGTATCCACGACTGCCAAGTAAACGACAAGCTATCTGTCGTGCTGAGAAAAACTGAAGCTTCATTTCTGAGTCACTCAATGCCTTATAGGCTGCTCTATGCTTCTTATCCTCTTTAATTTTGAATTCACCCTGAAACATACATGAATGAACAACTCAATAAACCCAAAAATCAAACATAAAACAACCCTCCTTTTTGTCTCTGTCATGATTAGTGCAAAAAAGATAGGAAAGGTCAATTCTCAATAATCTATTTTTCACACCAATGATTTATGTAACAACTACTTTATTGACATACTTGCAATGTATTCAATGTGTTGCCTTTTTGAGGTCAATCCAGAACATTTATTATTTGTAATTTTCTTTTACAATGCAGAAGCAAATTTTGAGAGCAATAAACAGATGGCGGGAAAAGTAGTGTTGTAAAAAAAAATGTGTGAATACCAAAGTAATTAAGCTCTAAATAGAAAGGGAAGATAATAGTCAAGAATGTTTCCATTATTAAGAAAGGGCAAAGGCGTACTTGTGACATAATGACATTGGTATAGCAATGCTCTTTTTGATGTAGTTTCCCTAAAATCTATCTTAATGATGTAGCTCAAAAACAAAGCTAAGACCTCCAATTTGGATTAGAATCAAATTTATTTACTGAAATGCCATACACGGATCAGAAGCACCTTATTAGAAATCACTACTTAAAGGAAGAAATCACACCCACGATTTATGATGTACTTTGCAATTAAGGATTGAATCACTATAAGAGCAATTGAAGTCTTCGGACTTTCTACCTTTTTCAATAAGATAAATTCTAAACAAGAAACAAATTAAGACAGCCACATGAAGTAGCTATTCTGGTCTGACTAGTTGATGAATTGACTTTGTGATAAACCAAATTATCAATTCTAAAAAATCCACTAGCCACTTTGGGCTAGCATGAACCATATATCTAGCAATGGCAATTAGTTGGACTTGGGTTAGATTCAACAAATTACATATCATATTCGGAATCCACTTCACATATCAGGATCAGGCTCTAGTTAGATGTGCCAAATAAAGTTTTATAGGGCAAACAAAAGCATCATATTGTTTGTTATTTAATTCAATTTGTTGATGACTTAATAGTAGTAATTGGATTCAAATAGGGTCATTCATAGGATTCAATTCAGACTTCACATTTTCAGCTTCTAGGAAATATCATTCAACATAACCTAAAAAATATTTTAGAATGAACCATACAATCGCCAAGAATAAACCTAGTTAAATTACACAAAGCGCCCTAGAAGATGAAACAAATACTCCCTAGTAGAAAATACTACAACAGTACAACACCTCAAGTTCACCAAAAGTATGTCACAATCTCAATTTCTATATTTGATTGACGTCACAATCGTAACTCGACTCTTATCAAGTTATCATACACAAGGACGATTTACCATTTAGGCTCTATCCTAGTTTCTTTCATAATCAACAAAACTGTCACTACCCCAAACTACAAATTAGTCAATCAGGCTCACCCAACACACCCCACCCTTTTCTCCCACACCCATGTTCCATAATTCCACCCCCACCAAAAAAATGAAATAGGGGTTTTATCCCCACCATTCAAATTGACAAAGCTATTACAGAACAAATTTAAAATCCAATTACAGAACAAACTGAAAACCCAACTACAGAATAAAATGAGCAAACAATTACATAAAAAGACATTAAAAATTTATATCACCCAATTCAATACATAATTACCACAACAACAAATGATAATGAAACAGAAATCTGAAAAATTCAGAAAAAACACAAGAAATGAGAAAGCAAGAATAACATACAGTGAGTCGGCCACCATTGCCACCAAAATCCATCTGAACATCAGTTTCTGTTTCCAAAGCCTTCAAGTAATGAATGGCATCAATAACAGAAGCAGGAACAGGGGAATTAGTGCCCCAATTCTGCCACTCTTGCAATGTGAGAACCCCATCAATGGGGTCTCTTGTTGAAGGTGGAAGAGAGAGTGACCTTGTTGTTGATGACCTTGAGAAGGAAGTGATAATGGAGGTTTGACTTTTGGTTCTACTAAGAGTTCTTCTAGTGATTCTGTGAGAACGGTTCATTGGAATCATAATCAGGGTTTTGAATGTGGAAAAAGCAGAGGAGAAGAAGGGAAGACTGCATTTCTGTGACAAGGGTCTGGTTTGTGACCACATTGGCTAGGCTAGGGTTTGGCTTGTGTTTTGTTTTCTCACTGTAGGGCGCACTCTCTGCTAATCCTAAAGAAAAAAATAAGGGTCATGGTGGCGTGGGTCGTATCAGTGTCATGATTGGTGGTGGTTGACTTGGTTGTTTTAAAAGTGGTGGATGGACTAAAGTTAGAGAAAGAAAATAGGGAAAAAATTTTGTAAGGGTAAGGATATCTCTTTGCTTAAAATGATGGCAATTTGATAATTTGTTATGGCAGTATTTAGCAATCTATAAAAATAAATCAAATCTCATGTGGGATGGTCTGATGTGAGCTTGGTGGCCAAACCGTTCTTGTAAAACTTTACTTGCAAGTTGCAATATAGGTTAGGAAGTAGTGTACTGAAATTCTCCTCAATGTACGTACAGTTTTATGGGGCGTTTGGTTTAGATGGGGTAAAGGGAATGAAATCAAGAAAGTGAAAGGGTGAGGAAGGAAAGTGATACCCTTTGATGTATTGTGTTGTTTGAGTGGTACGTAGTATCCTTAATGAATCGCTATATACCGTTGACATTATTTATCAAACCGCCAACATTTCATGTAAACAGAAGCTATACGCTTACTAAACCCCACTTAGCTTTCTCTCTCCTAAGTAAATCAAACCACCACCATAGCAACCATTAACCACCACAAAAGCAACAACCACCACCCATACCACAACAACGACCACCACCACCACGTTCACCACCACCGTAGCCGAATTGTCGGCAACCTACTAGAAGGAAAATGGATGGGGACGAAGCTGGTTCGAACCGCAACATAAAAAACTATATGTTGCTATTCTTTGGAAAACCCGCTGCATATACTCTTTATCAATTTTGTTTTAAAAAAACATGCACTATATGTTGTGGGTCCCAAAGGCCTGCTGAAAATATAGTGCTGCATTTGTCTAGTAAGTTTCGTTCAATTGATTTTCACTTATTTAAATTGGTAATTATTATCAAAATTTATTTTTTCCTGAATTAAACTTATTTAAACTTAACAAAATTTATTAGACATAAGATAAGTGAATATAAAGTGAACAAAAATACACTCTTACTTTCATTAATTTCCAACAACAAATTTCCGTCTATACTCTATATTCTATACCCCATCTTAATTACCAAATTTCCATTCCCACGTACCAAACACCCTGTAATATTTATTCCAAAAAAACAATCCAATATTATTAACTTACTTTGCATTTTACTACCTTTTAAAAAGTTCTAGCAAACATTTATGATTAGTGTGCGTATATTTGTCCTTAATGATGTTAACTGCCTCTTTTATTAACTCTATGATCGATGTATGGATATTTATACTCAGTCGTCCAGGGGTTACTCGATCAAGGGTTCCCGGTCAGTGTTTTGATGTGTGTCAGTTGGCCACACAGTGTAGTCAACCGTACAAAAAATGTGCTGAACTTATTAAACATATTAAACTTATTGGAACTTATTAGAACTTATCTTATTTTAATAGACTTGAAACATTTTTTTAAGGTGAAGAGAACACGCCCTAAGCCGAAGGAATTTTGCAAGTCATATAAAAAAGAGCAAATAAGATCATAGAATCATGAAGAATCAGACCTGAAACTTATTCTTTTGGGAAATTCTCTTTGGTAACACTATGGTTTTTATTTTTCTCAATGGTGAATTGCAAAAAAGTTATTATCTTTGGTAAACTCCAATTAATTAAACTAAGCCGTTGGTAACATTAATGATGGTTATTAGGGATTTTTTAACCATGGTTAACATTTTTAAGTTAAAAAAATGTTGTGATGCCTAAAATACCCCCATTTAATTTGCCCAACCACAAATGTCTAATCAGTCATTAAAATTGGAGGGTTTAAACGATCGAGCTTTCTCATTCATCACCCTTTGAAATTTTCAGTGAGATTATCTCACAATTGCAATTCAATTTTTTGCGTGGAAATTCTAGGGCTAGTTGCATCTTAGATCTGGGAATATTACTTGAAGTTGGTTGAGTGCTAATTGAAGACAGTTTGAGTGCGTCATTGAGGGAATTTGTTCGGGAATTCTGGGTAATTGAAGTCGTGTGTGGGGTGAAATTTGATCGATGCTACTACATCGGCATTAAAGTTCAGACTTTTGGGGAAGTATACAATCAATGAGTTTGAATTGAACCAGGTATGTGATTCTTTGTGCTTTTTTGGGTTTCTTGGGGTTGGATATGAAATGTTGTTGATGACATTGTTATTTTTGTGTGATTGATGATGTTAATTGTTAACGTTGTCATTTTTATTGTTTAGTTGTCTGATTATTAGGTTAATGTTGTTTATTATTGGATTGTTATGCTATTTCACGGCAGATTCTTATGCATGTGTGTATTGGTTGTTCATTTGTGTGTTTGATGCAGAATGGGTGACAAAATTGTGCTACAGTTTCAGTATAGGGGTAGAGATGTGTCTGTTATGGTTGATGATGTTGATAAGGTTAACTTGATAGACCTTATTGTAGAGTATTGGGAAAAGGCTAAGGAGAACAATGTTAAAACAGCCCAAAACCCCACATTTCAGTATGTGAATAAAATGAAGCATGTTAAACTTGAAAGTGATGCTGATTTGATGAAGATGTTTGCAAATTTGGCTGATAAAATGGAGATATACATATGGGTTGGGGATGGTCTTAAGGATAGTAAGGTTGTAGCAGCAGCAAGATCACTTATGAAAGGAAAGCAACCAGTTAATGAACCTGAGGTAGTTAACACTAGGAAAAAACTCACACCTAGGAAGAAAAGACAACCTGAGTTGGTGGAAGTTGATGTTGTTAGTAAGGTTGATTTTGATAGACATGTTCAGGCATTAGGTAAATCAACTAATGTGCCTGAACCTAAGATTATTACTTATGACCTAGATGAAACCTTGGATAATATTCTAGCAGATAGGGAAGCAAACCCTCTAACTAAGGGTAGAGGGAGAGGGCGTGGTTCAGTAAGAAGGAGAGGGAGTGGTTCAGCAAGAAGGAGAGGGAGATCTTTTGAGAGAGGGAGAGGTGCTGCTAGAAGTAGAGGTTGAGGTCTTGGTAGAGGGAGAGGGAGGGGAAGAGGGAATGCCTTGGAGAATTGGTTACTCCGTGGCAAACTAACCAACCTAATCAACCTGATGAACCTGACCAACCTGTCTCTAAAATGAATACCATATGCCTCCTAACATCCTCACACAAGACATCCAAGCCAACCATCTACCCAATCATTGATACCTCCTTTGCAAAACATTGGTGAGTTTGGTACTAGGAATAATTCTGGTGAGAATAATTCTTCTAAGTCCTCTAGAGTCTCAGCCTTTTTTCAAAGGAGATTGCCTAGGACAACTGCTAAGAGAAAAGGGATTTGATTAGCACTAGTGCACGTGGGGGGGGGGGAGAGTGAACATCAAACTAGGATCATAATAGGAGAAGGATTGTGTCTGTTAGCTTAAGTGAAGATAATGTGGGTACAAGTATTATTTGATGCAGTGGATGACAGTGAAGATGTTGGCTACAATCCTACTGCAAGGTCTATTAAAGAAATAAGTGAGGAGTCAGAAGATGAGAGTTTAGAGGATGAAGATGACTTGCCTAAGGATGATTGTGGGCCAATGATTGAAGACTCTTATGACCCTTTTGAGGATGAACAATTTTGAGTGTGAGAATGAACAGGACACTTATCTAACCAAGTTATATAACAATGGAGAAGTATATAAGGATGAGGGATTTGGGAAAATAGATTTGAAGCCATGGCAGTTGTTCATGGACAAGCAACACCTTAGGGATGTGGTGAGGGATTACTGCATCCAGTGTGGATTTGCGGTAGTTATAGACTATGCTAGCAATATTAGGTATTGTGCTAGATGTTTAGATGTGAACTGTGGCTGGAGATTGCATGCATCTGTGCTTCCAGATGGAATAACTTGGGCAATTAAAAGCATACAAAACCCAGAGCATACATGCCAAGGACTTGAGACCAAAAACAGTATGGTGAATGTGAAGTGGGCTATGAGGGTGTTACTTGAAGATATGAGGGCAAATAATGACATTCCTGCCAAGTCTCTGAATGATAAATTATGGAAGAGATATGGAGTTACCATGGCACAAAGCACTCTGTACAGGGTCAGGACTAAGGCTTTGGTGGATATTCATAGTGGGCATGATGTTTCGTACAAGGGAATTGCATATGTATTGTGATGTTATTAGAGAGCTAAACCCTAACTCACTAGCTTTCTGTGCTTGGAGAAATGTTGGTCTGGACAGGCCCTTGATGTTTAGTAGCATATTCATATCTTTTAAGGCTGCATTAGATGGGTTGAGTGCTGGACGCATAAGTCTAATTAGTGTGGTTGGAGCTCATCTCAAGGGAAATTATGGTGGGTTGTTACTGTCTGCAGTTGCTCTTGATGGAAATAATGAGATATTTCCTGTAGCATGGGCAATAGTTGGAGCTGAAGATGTTGAAAGCTGGAAGTTCTTTGTGTGGCACTTGAAGAATGCTTTACAACCAAGTGGCAAGGGTGATGAGTGGTGCATAATTTCTAACAAGCAAAAGGTATAAAGTAATGTCATTACCTTATTTTTCTTCCTTGTATACAACTATGTCAGTACCTTATGATTTCTTTATTTGTGTAGGGTATTGATGTTGCCTTTAATGACTTGTGGCCAAAAGTAGGCAGAAGGTACTGCTGCAAGCATTTGGTGAAGAACTTTAAGAGTTCTTTTCCTAGTTTATTGATGTTCCAATTATTCTGGAAGGCTGCTGGAGCATTCAATCCATTCACCTTCAAAAAGGCAATGGTGGCTTTACAAAAGGCTAATCCCCTAGCTCTTGTTTGGCTCTCAAAGCTTGGACCACAATCAAGATGGTCAAAGCATGCTTTCAATCCAGCTGTGAAGTGTGACACCAACAAATCAAATTTTGTTGAAAGCTTCAATGCTACCATGGGCATTGATAGATGCATACTAGTGCTGACTCTGCTTGAAGGTAAATAACTTGCCTTTACCAGTTTAAGTTAGTGTTAATTTTTAGTCCCAATGCTTATCTTTGTCATCACTGTTACTGCAGGGATTAGAAGACTAACTATGGTTAGAATGGCAACCAGAAGGGAGGCATGTGAGAGCTAGAGAGATGATATTTTCCCTAATATCATGAAAAGGCTGCAAGTTATTAGCCATGAATCAAGGACATGTAAGTGTTTGAAGTCTAGAGATGGAGAATTTGAAGTGTTGGATGGGAAATTTGTACTTCCTATCAACCTAAGGGAAAAGACATGTGTATTTAATGCTTGCCAACTGACTGGATTGCCTTGCAAACATGCTATGAGGGCCATCTTGCACTCAAATGAAGACCGCAGGACCTACATCAGTGAGTGGTACTCAGTCAGAAGGTACAAACTAACTTATGCCAACTCTATCAAGTCCATACCAGATGTGGAGCAATGGCCTGACAGTCATTATCCAGTGATTGACCCACCAACAATGAAAAGAGGAATAGGGAGACCTGCTAGGAATAGGAGGAGGGAAGAGGGTGAGCAAGCCAAAGGAAAGAGGTCAAGGACTGTCAAATGCAGCAAACGCCAACAATTTGGGCATAACTCACAAACATGCCAAGGTGGCTTGACTAGAAAACAAAAGGCTGCCTTAGGTGAAACCTCAGCTGGTCAGATAAAAAAAAAATGCCACCAAAGCAGAAAAAAGGAGTATCTATAAGCCAACCAGAACCATCAATAGTGGCATCATCATCACAACCACTAAGAGTCTCACCAAGGTCAAAAAGAGCCAAAGGAGGTGTCTCAACGTCACATCCTGCATCTTAGTGTCTTAGAACTAGTTGTCAAAACAGTGCATGGGTTTTAAGTATTCAGACAATTATTTTGCTTCTTAGTTAACTGTATGTGTCATACATTAATATTATGTGTTTTTGCTTGTCAAATGCTGTTTTTTGGACAAACCAATGAGCTTATGGGTTAATGTAATGTTTTGCTTTTGACAAATCAATGATATATTAGCATTATTATGAAGTAAAAACATAGCAAACACTAATATATTGTGCCAAACAGTAGTAGTAACAATTTTATTCATTAATTAAGATAACCAAAGTACATCAGTTTTCATTCATTCCCCTAATACATAACCTTCAACATCATGAAAGGAATGGTGTCCTTCCAACTAGTGTATTATTCCGATAGAGGGTTTGAGATTATTAGAAAGCTAATTCTTCAGTGAGGTTAAGTGATCGGAATGCCTAGGTGGAGGCTGCTTCCGATCAGTAATATTAATGCATAATTAATATTATAGCTTAATCTTGACTGAACCCTTCGAGTCACACCCCAATCGAGTAACCGATCCGAGGCGACGAATCAATCCGTAGGATTAGATGAGTCATAAGAGTATTATGAACAAAGACGTCGGATATCGAGCTTAGAGCATCGTAAGTCGAGTCGAATTTAGAATTCGACGAGACGAGAAATCAAGCAAACAACAAGTTCTAGCTGAGCCGTAGCCTCGCATTGGCCTAGCCATGCGAGTTCTAGGCTAGCACAGGGCACTAACCGCATCGCATGGCTATGCCGCAAGCCAAGCATGCATTTGCGTGCTAGGCTCGCTGGCCGAGCATGCTTGCGGGGTTGGTGCGCCTAGTCGCACCTACGCTAGCTCCAGCATCCATGGCTAGGCTAGTCAAGGCCTTGGCAAAGGCATCAAGGCCAGTTCAAGCATCCATGGCTGGGCTAGTTAAGGGCCTTGGCGAAAGCATCAAGGGCTTGGAAAAGACATCAAGGCCTTGGCGTAGGCATCAAGGCAGGCTGCCAGCTAGCTCATGCGTGTGCCAGCTCTTGCGTGCGTGCGGGAGCTTGGTTGAGGGTTGCTTGGGGAGCAAGGGGTGGATGGTCCCCTCTTGTGGTCCTCACCTAACCCCTTGCTCACCTCTTGACACTTGGCGTTTGTTGATTCACTTGCATTTTCAATTTGATTTTTGAATTAAAATAAATTGAATAAAGTGCATTTTTTACCATTCTCCCACATTGATGGGAGATTGGAATTCAAGGCTCCCTTCCCTATAAATACCCATCATTTGGGATTGGGAAGGGACACTTGAGTTGTGAATTTTAAGGGATCTCCAAGAAGAGAATACCTTAATTCTGATACTCTAAGTTTCTTGGTCTAGCCCCGTCTAACCTTCGGGGTAGAGACCGTTCGGGTCAGGTCTCGAGGATGTGAGCCGTCGGAGGCTCATGCGCTTACGGAGCTAGCGCATTCAAGTACGAGCTCTAAAGGAGCGAAGCACGTGTCGAGGGTGAGATCCACTATTAGAAAACAGGCAAATTCCGACGGACTGGTTCCGACGGACTTTTACTCCGTCGGAATATATGTGCTTTCCGACAGAATTTTCCGTCGGAATTTACAATTTTCGACCGAAATATTGTCCGTCGGAAAATTCCGTCGGAATTTAATTAAAAAAAATATATTAAAACCCTAAGATCCGGGTTCCTCTCTTTCCCTCACCGCCTCTTCCCTTCTCTTTCTCTCTCCTTTTTCCCCTTTCTCTTTCCCTCACCGCCTCTTCCCTTCTCTTTCTCTCTCCTTTTTCCCCTTTCTCTTTCCCTCACCGCCTCTTCTCTTTCCCCTTTATCTTTCTCTTTCCTCTTCTCTTTCCCCTCTCTCCTCTCAACAACATCAACAACCACAATTGCAATCGCAACAACCAGCCACGCCATGCGTCGCTTCTCCTCTGTCAACCAGCCACGCCACGCGTCGCCTCACCTCTGTCCACCTGCCACGCATCACCTTCAATAACCAGCCGCCGCGTCAAGCACCGTCGTCCACCGTCAAGCACCGTAGAAGGCCAAAAATATAGGTTAAATATTGGTTAGTTTGTAGATCTAGGTTTATTTTTCACAAAATTTATGATTATAATTATTTTTTTGATGAAATTGTAATGTAAGTTTATAAATTATTTTTTTGATGAAATTGTAATGTAAGTTTGTAGATCTGGTTTTTCGGATTTTTGGACTATGTAATGTATAAATTGTTTTTTTTCGATTTTTTGGTTTTTGTTTCGATTTAGTTTTTACGATTTGGGTGTTCTGGATTTTTTTTCGTTTTTTTCGATTTGGTTTGTTGTGGTGGTGGTGGGAAGGGGTTGGTAGATCTGGGTTGTGGGGGTGGTGAGGTGGAGATACGGGTTAGGTGGCGAGGTGAATCTGGGCTAGGTGGCTGATTTGGGTTAGTTTTGATTAGGGTTCGGTGGTTGTCGTTGGTGAATCTGGGCTAGGTGGCTGGTTTGGCTGATTTGGGTTAGTTTTCCATTAGGGTTCGGTGGTGGTGATACGCCGTGCCGGTGGTGGCACGACGTTTTTTTTAATCTCTAAAAATCAGTTTCCGACGGAAATTCCGTCGGAATTTTCTGGCGGAACAGTATCCGTCAGAAATTTCCGACACATTTTTTCAGTGCCGGATTCTCTTCCGACGGAATTTCAGTTGGAAAAGTGCTTTCGATGGAAATTCCGTCGGAAATGGTCATTTTTCCTACGAATGGTTTTCCGACAACCAGTTCCGATGGAATTTCCGTCGAAAATGTGTTTTCTGACGGAATTCAGGGTGATTCTGACGGAATTTTTCTGTCGGAAATGGCCTGTTTTCTAGTAATGATCGTCTTTTCTCTCTCTTAGTTAATTAATTATGTGATTATTAATTAATTTTCATGTTAAGTTACATTAATTTGTGTGCGGGTCTTAGGAGGGTTTCATTCCGCGTAGTGTCGGACACTACGAAACTCATCACATCAACATTCTAATTCACCATACTGAACCTAATTAATTCATCACTTGGTACAACAAATAACATAACAAAGTACATAATCAGAGCCATCTTCACAATTAATTTGATGAAATTCACCAATTCATCCAGCCTTGAATTAATAGCAACAATACCACCTTGTTCAACCTCCAATTCATCACCGACCCTGATTATATCCTCCTTCTTCAACCAAGCGAAATAATCGCAGCCCCTACACTTGAAAAATAATCTTCTACAGTTCTTCGTGGTCTCTGAAATCTTCACCGCAGCTACTTGGGGGGAACACAATCATAGCGCCCATGCTTAACCCAAGCAATCTAATCATCCAAGGTGATTGGCTTAACTGAGGAAGATGAACGAGTGTTTTTCATTGTCAACAGAGAGAAATTGGGGAAAATAGTGTAAATTAGGGTTTATATGAAAACGGGGAAATCGATTAGGGGATATAAGAAGGGGGAAATATATTTGGAAGGAAAGTCAGGTTTGTCATTAGGGAAAAATTAGGGTCAAATTTGTCATTAGGTCATTAGTTAACCATAGTTAAGCTTAAAATCCCTAATAACCATCATTAATGTTACCAATGGCTTAGTTTAATTAATTGGAGTTTACCAAGGATAATAACTTTTTTTGCAACTCATCATTGAGAAAAATAAAAACCATAGTGTTACCAAAGAGATTTTCCTTATTTTTTTTAGCGGCTATTTCACAAAATGCCACTGAGTACTTAAAAAATTCACCAAATGCCATCGCGTTTTTCAGAATTCACCAAATGCCACAGAGGTTTAGTATAATATCACCAAATGCCATTTTCGTTAGTTGACCGTCACTGTCAGTTAGTTGACCGTTAATTGACCCCACCACTTGCCACGTGTCACCTTCTGATTGGTCCGTTTTTAAAAAAAAATAGTTATACAAAAATTAAAAAAAAAAAACAAAAAAATTTAAAAAATAATAATAATAAAAAAAACCCAAACCCCAACCACCACCCCAGCAGCCACCAGCCCAGCCATCCCTTGCCGCCGAAGCCAGCACCGAAAGGCACGCCGGCGGACCCCGACCCCGACCCCTCTCCTCGTCGCGCCACCCACCCTAGCCCAAACCCTTAACCCGCGAAACCCCACCCCCCTTCCTCCACCACCCCGAAACCCCACCCCCCTTCCTCCACCACCCCGAAACCCCACCCCCCTTCCTCTCCCTTTTCGATTTCCGGCCACCCCACCTAAAACACCCTTCCCCTCCCCTTTTCGTTTTCGGCCACCCACCCACACAACCGAAACCCCTTTTCGATTCGTGGGTGCTCGTTTTTTGGCTCGAATTCCGCTGGTTTTCTTTGCAATTTGCGTGTATTTCTTCTTCTCATTGCAATGTAAGTATTTCCATGTATAATCCTTGCTTCATTGTCGAATTTCATGCAAATTTGTGAAAAATTCGAAAACCCCCTTTGAAATATCGATTTGGGGCTTTCTTGTGTGATGCTTGTTTGATAAAATTGTTTGTCCCTTGTTATTGCATTTTTTATTGTGAGCATTTTGATGGTAATTTTGTAGAAAATAGTGAAGAAATGAGCATGTTGTGTTCTTGCCTTCGAGCTTGAACGTGGGTTTTAATGATGGTGGAAAGATGGCGGAGAGGGAGTGAGGAAGGGGCGGGGCCGCCGGCACGCCTGCCGGTGAGGGACGCTGGCGGCAGGGGCTTCGGTCTTCGGCGACAGGGAGGGGTTTAGGGTGGGGTGGACGGCCTGCTGATGAGGGTGGTAGAAGGGGTGGTGGCTGGGGTTTGGGTTTTTATTTTTTATTTTTATTTTTTTTTGTTGTTACTTTTTAATTTTTTTAAATATTTTTGATTTTTTTTCTTTAATATTTGTATAATTTTTATTTTTTAAAAACGGACCAATCAGAAGGTGACATGTGGCAAGTGGTGGGGTCAACTAACTGACAGTGACGGTCAACTAACGGAAATGACATTTGGTGATATTATACTAAACCTCAGTGGCATTTGGTGAATTATGAAAAACGCGATGACATTTGGTGAAATTTTTAAGTATTAAGTGACATTTTGTGATATAGCCATTTTTTTAATGTAAAAAGAACACTCCATTGTCCATTAGCCGAAGAAGAGCAAATAAGATCATAGGAATGATAGGATCATTGGATCATAGAGAATGAGAGAGTATAAAGTCACATAGATCATCATCATTGACAAAGTTTATTTAAATAACGACCGACGAAGTCTCTTTTGAAACAAAAACTCAAACAATCGCACAATTTCCATTCTTTTCATTCCACTCACAAACCCCAAAACTAATGATTTCGTAACCAAACACTTATCTCCCTCCCACTCCTTTTAAAACCCCCCAAAAAGGGCAAGTTCAGTAACCGCCATGAATACTACTTTGCTTTGCTAATACCCATGTCTTTTTTTCTCTCTCTCCTAACTCCCATACTCATACTCTATTCTACCTTCCTACTTAATCCTTCTCCACTACTTTTATTTCCCCCATTTTTTCTTATTTTCCTTCATTTAAACTCCAGTAATGCAGCTTTCTTCCAATAACCCACTTCCCAAAATCACCTTATTTCACCCTTTTAACAATGTCTAAGATTCAATCTCAAGAACAAATTAACACCCACCAAATTAATACCATTAATCACCCAAATAACATGGACAATTTCTCAAAAAAGTTGAAACGTTTCAGATTCTTTGAGCCTTCATTAAGCATTACTGGGTTCTTATTTGTAACAGTGGGTGCTATTATATGTTGTTACTATTACTTAGATTACAGAGTTTTTGAAAGAGGGTTGAATTTTCCATTTAAATCACAGAGGTTTCAATGGCTGCAATATGATGAATTTGCTGGTGTTTCTGCTGGTATTAAGAAAAAGGTTGAGTTTTTGAGTGAAATGGGTGATGAATGTGACGTGTTTGATGGTGATTGGGTGTGGGATGAGAGTTATCCATTGTATGAATCAAAAAATTGCGAGTTTATGGATTTTGGGTTTAGGTGTTCTGAGAGTGGTCGACCTGATAATTTTTATACCAAGTGGCGTTGGCAGCCTAAACTTTGCAATTTACCAAGGTATATCTTTTGTTCCTGTTGGGTTGTGTATAACCTTACGTTTGCTGCTTTTTTAATGAAAACTGATTTTGGTACACCATTTTTTATATTGACCTTCATGTGAAAGGGGTATAGAATATTGTGCTCTAGGTGTGTCTAAATCACTTTTTGTTATGTCAAAATCATTTCCCCTTTTTAATGGTTGGTTTCAATATGTGTTGCGTGCTTGTATTTTTAAAATATCTAGTATGCAACGGGTGTATTGTATGAAGGTTGGTCCTTGTAAATTTGCGAGAAAAATATGGAGAGACCGTATGTGACTTAAGGGTGATTGGGTGCAATATACTCGTTATATGCACATTTATTTGTCATTTCTGTATTTCGAGACATTTGGTATACAATGTTGCACTAACACGGGTGACTTTTATTTAATTTGAGGTGACTAAGCTTAATACACTCGTATAGTTATATACAATTTTTTGCGTTGTGTTTTTTTTTCAATGAAAATGTTGTATTTAATATTGACGGTTAAAGTTGAGCACCATGAGGGGAAACGTTGAACTACGAAAATCAATTTGTTTTAGTTAGATTAAATTTTCTTTAATTTTGTTATTATCTTTAAGTTGGTCCTTAAACAACCACCAATAATATAGGAAATGCTTAAATTGCCTAATTTGGGTCAGTTGGTGTATTTTGCTGGGATAAAAAAGTGTGTACTCTCTACTTTTTATATGTTTCTTTTACTACGATTTAATCTCACTAACTACCATAATGGCTCCTTATTAATGTCTTTGTTTCTTATTGTGTTGCTTTTATTGTTTGTAGGATATATACTTCTATTTTTATGGCAAGTTTATAGAGATTGATTTTTGATATTTTGCCAGTAGTTTCCTTGTAGTTGGATGTACTTGAGTGAAAGTGTATGCAATAAAGAGTTTTTTTTTTTTTTTTTTTTCGGCACATAGTTATAAGATATTGTTGGTTAAAAGTTGGTAAAATGTCAAATATTTATATAGGTGTACATTGAAATGGATTAAATTTAGCATTGCCTATTAATTTCAATATTATCCTCCCTAGTGAACTTAGGCTACTATACTTTTTATCTCTCTCAATTTTGACAAATTCTCTAACTATTTTTTTGCTCACGAGCCACATTCAATTTTTTTTATCCACAACTAATATGCAAAATGCCCTTGCTTTTTTTTCTTAAAATTCGTGTCTAAGAGGGGTTAGTTTTCTTTATGTAATTTGATTATTAGACATTTAGATGGTGTATATTACTAAATTAAGTAGTGTTCACTTTACTTGAATTTTACTCATCTTATCTTAATTTATTAGCTCTAAATTTTTAGTCTATTATCTAAACTTATTTGAATCTACTAGTCCTAACTTTATTGCATATGGACTTTTTTTATATTATTATTATAACTTCTTAAACCCAAGATAAATGAAAATAAAGTTGGGAAGGGATTGGGGAGGGGAAGAAGGGTTGAGCTTATATAAATTATTATAGATTTGAACTTGTAAGCTGAACAAATTTTATCAAAACTTGTTAACCCTAAACTCATATTGTTTGAACTTATTAGATCTAAAATAAGTGAAAATAAGATTGGTTATCTATCCTGCATTGAACTGAACTTTATCAATGGTGATTAAGTTCCAGATTTCCAGTGCTTTCACATTTCTACTCTCCTTTTTTGCTGTTATATATGGAATTGAATTCTGATCACTAACTTCTCTTGGCGTATCACCATTATCAGATTCGATGCAATATTGATGTTGGAAAAATTAAGGAACAAACGCGTTGTATTTGTGGGAGACTCTATTGGAAGGAACCAATGGGAATCGCTTCTTTGTATGCTTGCTTCTGCTGTTTCTGATCAGAAATCAATATATGAAGTGAATGGAAATCCTATTACAAAGCACAAAGGCTTTTTGATTTTCAAGTTTGAAGACTATAATTGCACAGTGGAGTATTATCGGTCTCCATTTCTCGTATTGCAAGGACGTCCCCCTGCAGGAACACCAGAAAAGGTCAGGTCCACTTTAAAATTAGATCAAATGGACTGGAATGCTGGGAGGTGGAAGGGTGCTGATGTTCTTGTCTTCAATACAGGACATTGGTGGAACTATGAGAAGACTATTAGAGGGTAATTTGATAACTCATGATTATTAGATATCTTACCTTGCATTCGAGTTTTGCTTTGCTAGTTTTACGTCTGCTCTGCCTGTCTAGCTTCACAGTTATCCATTTTTGTTTCGTTTCGTTTCGTTTCCTTTTTTTTGTTTTTTAACATTTGGCAACTCAATGTTTATGTTACTGAATTCAAGTTTACACTTCCCCTGCATCACATGGCCTTAAAATGTATCAACAGGAATAGGTAAAGTAATATCTTAGCACCAAAAATCCAAAAGCTAGAACAAGTACTTCTATTTCTGGAACTGAATGTCTCATTGTCTTATACCCTCATATTCTTTTTAATAATAGTAGTGTCCTTCCAATATTTCATTTTGAAACAGGATTATTTCAAATTAGTAAATCAAAATCAGTGACAATTATATTTGAACTGATAATATTTTGTAAAAATAATTTCGTAAAGATTTCAGCCGTTTTAATCCATCTTCTAACAACTTATATCTTGTCTGCTGCTACCCTGCATCGTCTCTTGACATCTTTTGTATCTTCCCCCTGATACCCCCTTTCCCGTCCCAATTTATACTTTATAATCACCTTTCTTTCACATGTGACTGTTTTAGTTGTATTTATTACTTATGAAAATCGAGTATTTCGATGAGACTCCTTATAATTCTTTATTATCTTAAAGTAGTAGTAGTATATAGTAGGAATAAAATGTCAGTGAATCTTTTTGAATTGCTAGTATAGTTTAGTAATCTCTGTATTCTAGAACCGCTGTTTGCTGTAAATATTACTTTAATTTTTTTCGTTCTTTTTCCTCCCTATACTCTTTATTACTTTTCCTTTGACATTTCAACCAAACTCAAACCAGTGAAGTAGTATTTGATATCGGCTTCATGCAAAAAGCCTTAAACACAATTTTCTTTTTTTTTCTTTTGTAATATTGTTTATTATTTAAAACGATTTCTGGAGAGCCACCTCTATATAATATATATGGGCATGATAATTCCAATAAATAATTTGTCAAGGAATGGACAGAATCTGTATCTGGTTTATAATATTAATGTGTTGCTCAGACCACATGCATTGCTTTTCTGGAATATTTGGCGCCACATTGTGTTTGTGCCTCTGCCAGTCATAGACTGATGACATTGAGCTGCTTTCTAACGGCTTTGTAACTCCTAGTACTATGGTCGGCAAGGGGTTTATCGGTTTCACCAATTGGACGCTTGCTTAATTAGGATGAACTAGTGAGTTCATGTATATATCTTGGTCCAATTTTGTTATATAGCTCAATGGGAGTATTTATGAAGATGTGAACAGCTACTTAATTATTAGTGGTATCTGAATAAGTTGCTTCACCCTATGTAGCAATTTTGAAACTTTTGAACTACGTGAAAATGGAATCATTTATTTCCGTGCAGCAAGCTGAAGGAAAGCAATTAAATTATTGTATTATGAGATATATTTTTTTCATTTTTAACCTTTTTTTTTTTTTTTTTTTTATTATTATTATTATTTTCCTACTATACTTGTGAAGCTCTCAAGATTACATATTTTCTGAAATTACTTATATGCAAGAGCTGACCATTGGAATTGTATTTTTGTCGGGCAGGGGTTGTTACTTTCAAATTGGGTTAGAGGTAAATATGAATATCACAGAAGATGACGCATACCGCAGATCCCTGGAGACTGTTCTTGACTGGATAGACAGGGAGGTAGATACAAGAAAGACACAGGTCTTCTTTCGCACCTATGCCCCTGTACATTTCAGGTTTGTTATTTCTGTTCGATCTTCTTTGAAACCATTATATTATTATGCTGCTCAAACTGCAGTTAAACAAGCTCTGACTTTGGGTATAATTTATGTTTGATCCACTCCTTCCATTGTATCCTCTAACTCTCGAGTACCTTTAGATGAACATGTTAAGCTTAAAGTTGATTCTTATAATTGAAGCATTATTATTGGTTCAATTAACTTGGTATCTTCATGTTAAAGAAAGGCCTTATATCATTTTGTGATCTTTTTGCTTAGGATATGTTGTATCCTTTAGCTTTACCCCCAAATACTTCACAAGTACTCTACTCGTGTCATTTATAATAATACCCTGAGATTGTCCATGTTACCTTAATACTGCACACAGTCGATCACTATACTTATGATGTTGATGACATTTGTGGTTGGCAGAGGTGGTGATTGGAGAAGTGGCGGAAGCTGTCACATGGAAAACCTCCCAGAGCTCGGGGAGTCTCTGGTCTCATCTCAAACATGGTCAAAACTCAACATAGCTGCAGAGGTATTGGGATCTCACAGTAACAATCCGAAACTTAGGGACATAAGCATGTTGAACATTACAGTTATGTCCTCTCGCAGAAAGGATGGTCACTTGTCGTTGTACTACCTGGGTCCTGGTGCTGGTCCAGCATCAATCCATCGGCAGGATTGCAGTCATTGGTGCCTACCTGGGATTCCTGACTCTTGGAATGAGCTGCTTTTTGCTTTGCTAATTAGACGTAGTGTCTCTAAGACATCAAATTCGACTTCTCAAACACAGGCCGTTTGAAATGTGATTGGTTTGTGCAGACTTTGATAGTAAAAATTACAGCTAAAATAATGCATATTGTGTAGGAGGTTCTTTGCAGGAAATTACAATCAGTGAGTGGTAGATGCAAAGAAGACTTGTCATTTTAAAGGGTAATCTGATTTGTGAATATATGGTTAATTATACAGAACGAAGGAAACAACTCATCTTCTATTTCATGTTTTGTGGATTTGGAGGAGAGCAAAAGGTGCTTCCATTTGCAAATGCCATTTATATATAGCATAATTTTATGTAATATTTATAGGACATTTCCTCCCAATTCCAAAGTTCCAAGTTTAAGTAATCTAATAATTTTTATTATTCTTTGTTATTTTTATATTATTTTTTTTCCCTTCGATTGATTATGTTTTACAATAATAAAGGGTTTGTTTGGCCAAGCTTATATAAAACAATTGTATTCATAAATGTGATTTTTCTAGAAATCGTTTCTAGTGAATCATTTATTAAAAAAGAAATAGGTTAAATGAATTGTGTTTATAAATGTGACTTTCTAGAAACTGTTTCTAGTGAATCATTAATTGAAAAACGAATAGTGTTAAATTTTTGAGATAATATGAAATGGGCCTAAGTAACCCGAATTAGGAGGAGAGTTTGGTTCACAAACAAAGCTTAGTTGATTTCATACTAAAACCAATTGGCAATAGGAGAAACTAATCTACCTTATGAAGTGAAACTATCTCTACTCTTTTTGAGAGTGAAGGATAGTTTAAGTGGTTAGAGTTTCCTTCCCGATTCTAGGAGATCTTAGGATCGATTTTCATCACCCGCTCTTATGGCTCTCTAAGCACCAAAAATAAAATATCTCCTCTTTATCCAATGTGGGACACTCACAAGTGGGCTACAATGGGTTTCAACACTCCCCTTCACTTGTGAGTGTCATTAGAATTAGAGCACACTAGAAGGTACAATATAATCCTCATTGGGAATGAACATCCAATAGAGGCCCCTTAACCAGTAGCAATTGATTACACCAGAGCACACCAGAAGGCTCATTGTTTATTGATCAAGGTTTTTAGACAATTAATTACACATAAAGGACATGCTTGGACTTGAGTAGTGTATTTAGGAGTTATAAAATCAACAATATGCTATATGTAGCCCTTAGACTAAGAATAAACATTGAACATCTTTCCTAATTTGGTATTAATTTAGAAATGTATGATAAAATCACATACTAATTATTGTAATTAATGTTGTCTTTTCATTTATGTATTCTATTTTGAGTTTTATATATATAACCCTTAGAACTATGTATAACATTTTTCTAAAGGAAAAATTGATTTAAATAATCAAACCTTTGTTCCATTTAAATATAATATTCCAACCTTTCGATTATTCATTAATAATCCAAATTTTAGGGGGTCTTCAATTTTATTAGGCCAAACGATCGGATTTTTTTCCAAAGTAAGCTTTATTACAAAACTATTTTGTAATGTAGACTTGTGGCCAAACTATTTACCAAACTAAACTTCTAGGGTAAAACGCTGTCTCGGACAGCGTTTTATACCCTGGTTTTTTAAAAAAAAAAATTCCATGTATAAAACGCTGTCTCAGACAGCGTTTTACATGTTGACTCTTTTTTTTTTTTTTTTTTTTAAATTTCGTAATTTTTTATTTTAAAATAAAAAAATAAAAATAAAAAATTTAGTGAGTCAGCGTTTTTAGTGTAAATATATTTTTTTTCTTAAAATTCTTATTTTATGATCTTGAGACCACTGCTTCCCTCAAATCTTGATTGTGGGGGGTCTCTATCAAGATATCAGAGTTTTTGATGAAGGTACGAACCTTCAAAGAAGAGTGTGTGTAGGAGTGATACAGATACAACTTCTTTCGTTTTGATAATTTGGCCATATCTTCTCGAGAAATTTTCATGCGCATGTTTGGTTTTCTTTTATTGACAAAGGTAGCTTTCCCTATCTGTTGTACTCTGTGATATGGGTTGTTTGAACTCGACTCCTGCACATTATCGAGCTCCATACTCTCTTTGGTTCCTTCTTCCAACAACTCTTCTTCATTACCACAACTTCTAGATGAGCTTCCAAACCTTTTGTTAATATTGTTAGTAAGTTCCGAGGCTTGAGGCTTGGTGTTCAATTGCTTCCCTTCTACTTGATTACCATGATCTTCAGCATCGAATTTTTTCTCCGTTGAAGTGATACTCATCAAAGTTGATAACTCCTTTTCTAATTCTTTATGTTTTTGGTTCTAATGACCTTAGCTTGCCTTCTCTAACCTTCATAAGCCTTATCAAACTTCCTTGATTTCACTAAAGCCTTAGACATTTCTCTTACCAATTCCCAACACCATAGAGCAGTAGACAATAGCTATATTAAAGTCATGAAGTTTTATCTCACAAGCAGCAATATTCAAATGCAGAGCTATCACTAAATCCTTGAGTAATGGGTATTTTTTTTTTTTTTTTATAATAAAAAATTACGAAATTTTTTTTTAAAAAAAATTCAACATGTAGAACGCTGTCTAAGACAGCGTTTTACACATTGATTTTTTTTTTTTTTTTTTTTTAAATCAGGGTATAAAACGCTGTCTGAGACAACGTTTTACCCTAGAAGCTTAGTTTGGTAAATAGTTTGACCACGAGTCTACTTTACAAAATAGTTTTGTAATAAAGCTTACTTTGGAAAAAAATCCCAAACTATCACCAACATAGAATATCAGGTCGCCATGTCACATGTCACATTCTGATTCGTCCAAGTTTAATTTTTACATTTTAATTTTTTTTTTTTTACCTTTCCACTTTTCATTTGCTTTCCCAAACCCAACGCCACCTCCGTTGAAGCAACCCCCCCTTCCCCTCCCATTTTCGACTGCCCCCTCTTTTTCCATTTCATTTTCCGGCCACCCCCCTCCCCATGAAACCCCCAACTCGAAACTAACAACCCTGAGACCCAAACAAAACATAACCTCAAAACTTGCTACCCCTAAAACAAAATTAAATCAAATAGGGGATTGTTATGGGGGATTATTAGTGGTGGCTAATGTGGGCATCTAACGAGTTTTGGTTGGTGCAGTGGTGAGGAGGCTCGCAACTGGCGATGGTGCGGCTGCAGTTGGTGTTGGGGGTGTTCTGGGCGATTTTAGCATAGGTAAAAAGTTATTTCATAGAGAAGAAAAACCATTTTCCTTATATAAAGAAGCTCTGTCACAAGTTTTTCATGACTCCTAATTATTTCCATGGGCAGATCCACGGTGGATTCAAGTGGGTTCATTGAACCCACCAATTTTTGAAAAAACATCGATAATTTTCTTTAAAAAATAGGGTTAGAACTAATATTCATGTACAACTGTACATTATGTAAAGATATGACAGTGTAGCTCAATGGCATTTTTGACCTTTCGTCATAACTTTTATTGGCCTCCTGAGATTAGGGGTGTTAAAAAAAACCCGACCCGCTTAACTCAACCCAATGACCCGCAAAAATTCTTATCGATCTTCCTATCTCTTTTTGGGGACACACACTTCTAACCGCGGCACTAACACTAAATCGAGCTTCGTCAAAAGCTGTTGAAAAGACTCCATATGAATTATGGACAAAGAAACCTCCACGGTTGTCTTTTCTTAAGATTTGGGGTTGTGAAGCATATGTCAAGAGACTTATATCTAACAAGCTTTCACCAAAATCTGACAAATGTTTCTTTGTTGGGTATCCAAAAGAAACAAAGGGGTATTACATCTACAATCAATCTGAGAACAAAGTGTTTGTTGCTCGAGATGGTGTCTTTTTGGAAAAGGAGCATCTTTCTAAAATGACAAGTGGGAGGAAAATCGAACTTAATGAAGTTCGAGTAGATAAGCAACAAAGTCAATCTGACAAAACTGACAATCAAAGGGCTTTTAAAGCAGCTATTGATAATAGTCAAAATCAAACCGACAATGTTCAAATTCAAACCGACAATGTAAATGCTTAATCTATTACCCTGCGTAGGTCGCAAAGGCCAAGATCTCAACTGGACAGATACCTCGGTGTCGTCTTAATCGAGAATCAAGACATCTAGTCATGGATGAAGATGAGCCGGCGACATATAAGCAAGCTATGACGAGTCCCGACTCTGCTAAATGGCTAGAAGCCATGAAATCCGAGATGGACTCCATGTTAGAAAATCAAGTATGGGACTTGGTTTATTTGCCCGAAGGTTATACACCTATCGGTTGCAAATGGATTTTCAAGTTGAAAACCGACAAAGATGGAAATGTATATGTATACAAAGCAAGACTGGTGGCAAAAGGTTACAGGTAACGACATTGATTATGATGAAACCTTTTCGCTAGTCGCCATGCTTAAGTCCGTCCGGATTATCCTAGCAATTGATGCATATTACGATTATGAAATATGGAAAATGGACGTCAAAACCGCCTTCCTTAATGGGATTTTGGAAGCAACTGTGTACATGACACAGCCCGAAGGTTTTATAGATCCAAACAATGCTGGGAAGGTATGCAAGCTTAAGAAATCCATTTATGGATTAAAGCGGGCTAGCAGGAGTTGGAATCTGCGATTCGATGAAGCCATCAACAAATTTGGCTTTATCAAGAATCCAGATGAGTCTTGTGTATACAAGAAGGTTAGTGGGAGTGACATTGCATTCCTTGTCTTATATGTCGATGACATATTGCTCATTGGAAACAGCATTCCAATGCTGGAGTCTGTAAAGACTTGGCTTGGAAAGTGTTTTTCAATGAAGGACTTGGGAGAGGCACAGTACATATTGGGCATCAAGATATATAGGGATAGATCCAAGAGGATGATTGGATTGAGCCAAAGTACTTATATTAATAAGGTATTAGCACGATTTAATATGGTGGAAGCCAAGAGAGGCCACCTACCCATGTCTCATGGCATAACTCTCAGCAAGAAACAGTGTCCGAAGATACCTGATGAGCTAGAGAGAATGAATTAGATTCCATATGGTTCGCTTATTGGATCAATCATGTACGCCATGATATGTACAAGGTCGGATGTATAGTACGCCTTGAGTGCTACGAGCCGATACCCATCAGACCCAAGAGAGGCGCATTGGATTGCGGCCAAGAATATCCTAAAATACCTGAAAAGGAACAAGGATAAATTTCTGGTCTACGGTGGAAGTAAGGACTTGGTTGTTGAAGGTTATACCGACGCAAGCTTCTAGACTGACAGAGACGACTTCAAGTCGTAATCAGGATACATGTTCAGTCTAAATGGAGGAGCGTTCAGTTGGAAGAGTGCTAAGCAAAGCAGGACTGCAGATTCTACAACTGAAGCCGAATAGTTGGCAGTTTCAGAAGCAGCTAAGGAGGCAGTTTGGATTCGT